TTAAAAAGTTTGTCTCCATTAAAAAGAAAATAGTCTATTGTATGTAATAAATAATAGACTCGAGCAGGAGACAAGTCTCGAATATATCACTCACACGCTCACTGTAATCACTCACTGACTCATCAACACCAAGCCCAAACTCTTGGGCTAGAAAGCTGAAATTTTACACAAACGTTCCCTTTATAATGCAGACAAGGAATAAGGATTTTTCAAAATTGCTGCGGGATAGCTAATAAAGAATATTTGTCTTTTCGTTTAATGACCCGGGTCCTACGCAGTAACACAATAAGTCACACTTTTGTTATTTAAAAGTTCATAGAGGCCAAACTACTAGTAATGACTTTATCGCATATACTATATTTCTTTGTCATTATGGGTATTAGGCTATAAATCTTTCTGAACAAACCGAACCAACGGTACATCCTACTCTTTTTGTTTGTTTGTTTCCAGTGGAACATTTTCGCTGAGACAGAGTGTTTGTCATGCCGGCCTTGCCTCAGCAGCAAGGAAAATGTCTACTTTATCCATTGAGTTATAATGTACTATGTAACTCAATGACTTTATCATTTAGAATTTAGTTATGTATTTAAGTCAATGGCACTATGAACGGAATCAATGTAAACGAACAATGCAATGCTAGAAAGATATTTGACAGGTAAACTAGCTTGAGTTCGGACATAAAAAATCTATGACTAATTATAAAATGTACGTAAATTTCTTTTTAAAAAACCGAATATTTTGTTGTCTCTTTAAATCCACAACTTTCTGAACCTTAACCATTAGACTCCTGCCGATTAATCATAATATAATAAAACCTAGGCTAATAATTTTAATTTAATATTATCTAGACGCACCAAAAGTTATTATTAGGGATTCCATGTTGACAATTTTCATTCCTGGGGCAATATGAATTTAATTTTGAATTAAGTTATTAGTCCTATTTAGTTAATAACCAATATTATCGATGTTATCGATTCTGCTGTCGGTGTTGAGCAGGGTGACCCACTAGCAGCACTTTTCAGTTTGGCAATTCAACCCATTATTTCAAATTTGAAATCCAAGCTGTATGTCTGGTACCGGGACGACGGTACACTGGGAGGTAGAGCAGATGACGTCCTCAGTGATCTTACTCATATTTTTCCAAATTTTAAAAATATTGGTCTTGAACCAAATAGCAATAAATGTGAAATATTTTTTTAGAGATACATTTTAATTCAAAATTTCAATCATATTTCTCCAGAAATAAAAACTGTGAAATAAAAAGTACGGAATCACTATACCTGCTAGGTGCCCCGTTGTTTTCCGATGGTATTAAACCTGTTTTAAAAACAAAATTTGATCAGTTTTTAAACCAGGTTCATAAATTGTATAAATTAAACCCCCCACATTGCTCTTACTATTTTAAAATATTGTCTTCTTGTACCTAGATTGACATACATAATAAGCTCGAGTCCAGTCTGGAAATGTTCGGATATTTTAAAAGATATTAATAATAATTTAGACGTGGTAGAGCCATGCTGCAGCTATATTAGTAGTATAGTTGTAGCACGAATGGATCGCCTCGACCGGGGAAGGACCACGCTCTCACAGAATACCAGCGTAAAATAGCAGCTGAATAAGAAAAAAAAGAAGATACGTTATGGAGAACCCTCCATAATATACATGTAACAATGAGGACATGCACGACTTTTTATACCATTAGGCCGGTGCCACTTAAAAATGAGGTGTAATATTTGACAGATTTCATAGCGGGAAAGTTGACTTGTTCGGAATGTGTAAAGATTAATGTTTATATCTGTACTATTAGTTATATTTTATAAATATTACGTATATTAAAATATATAAAACAAACGAAAGATATTCATAAAAGTGAAAAAGTTAAAAAAAGAGTTAAAAAAAATCAAAAAGCAAACCACTGAGGCATTGTTTTGTGTATTAATATGTCGGAACTTACAACACGTATCCCACTTCTGATGTCGGATAATTACAATAGAGGATTGCAATTTTGATCTCGGAAATACATCAGGATAGCGTTAACTGTTAAAAATAATAAAAGTGTGAGAGCGGATGTTCAACTTGCTCTCTTGCTTACGCAGTTAAATCATTATCAATAATAAAACAACGTAACGCACTATATATTCAGTACAGTGAAATTACAGTTCGACCACACCGTAACACGTCTCCGCCACAATCACACGCCAGTGTAACATGAGGTACGTAATTACATGATAACACCAAAATATGTAAACCAACAGCAATGTATTATGTAACACAGGACTTATCTCAATGTAACACAGGACTGCATCTCAGCAACACCAATCCTCCTTGACTGTACTAGAAGAACTACAACAACGAACAGAACTACGACACTATCTCAGCACTAGTAGAATGACCACACTCGTTGAATGACTTAAGCTGAATCTCTCGCGCACGGCACCTACAGGGAACTTTATACTACAGACACAAGAGGGGGTTTCTCGATATACCCTCCATTCTACCTCGATCCAACCGGGTATTTTATAGACGCCCCGACAAATATAATACTCTAGAAACTGATAAATTTTTATTTAAAACTAACTTCTCAATTAAATTACATTGTGTTACAGAAACTAGTAGCGGTCACCGAATGGTTAGAGGCACACTGAACCTAAACGTTAAGTTGGAGAGGTCTCGTCTAATGAAGTCAGCGCTCCGTCCCCCTCGTGCTCTAATCCAAGGTCCCGAAACCTTTCAGCTCGACTTACAAAATCGTTTTCAGTGCCTAGAAGACTGCAATGAAGTGGACGATATGAACGACAAGCTCGTGGAAACTGTCCATGCGGTCGGCGCTAAGTTCTGCAAGACCCACCGCAGAAGAACACAAAAACTGTCCGATCACACTCACAGCATACAGGCAACTGAACAGACAGATCTCCAAATGCATGCGGCGGGACTTGCGCAACTTCAATACAGCTTGTATTGAAGAAGCGATCGAGCGGAATCAAGGCTCCAAAGTCTTTGCCAGACATCTGTCTGCCAGAAAGAGCCAACTGTCAAAGCTGAAGACCGAGTGTGGCAGCATCGTTTCCGGGGCACCTGAGATTTTGATTGAGATTGAGAGGTTCTATGGGCAGCTGTACACATCATCGTTGGAGACACACGCAAGTGTCAGTAACGATCCAAGAGCGAGTCTTATCCGACACTATTCCGAAGATATCCCGGACGTCAGTCTGAGCGAGATTAGAATGGCTCTCCAGCACCTTAAAAACGGCAACGCCCCAGGCGAGGATGGAATTACAGCGGAGCTTCTGAAAGCGGGTGGAAGACTGGTACTTGAAGTCCTTCAGAAGCTCTTTAATTCCGTCCTTCATGGTGGCATTACACCGGAGGCGTGGAACAGAATTGCGGTGATCTTGTTCCTCAAGAAAGGTGACGACACTCTCTTGAAGAACAACAGACCGATTTCCCTTCTGAGCCGCGTCTACGTGCTGTTTTCGAGAGTCATTACGAATCGTCTCGCGCGCAGACTTGACGACTTCCAGCCTCCCGAACAACCCGGTTTTCGAAAGGGCTTTAGTACCATAGACCACATACATACCCTTCGGCAAATTGTACAGAAGTCCGAAGAGTACAATTTGCCACTATGTCTGGCGTATGTGGACTATGAAAAAGCCTTTGATTCCGTCGAAATTTGGGCGGTGCTGCAGTCCCTTCAGCGGTGCCAAGTGGACTGTCGGTATATCGAAGTGCTGAAGTGTTTGTACAGTAGAGCTACGATGGCTATCCGAGTACAGAACCAGAGTACGAAACCTATACAATTGCGGAGAGGTGTAAGACAGGGTGATGTTATATCCCCGAAACTATTCACCGCTGCATTAGAAGACACTTTCAAGCTTCTGGACTGGAAAGGATACGGTATTAACATCAATGGCGAGTACATCACTCACCTTCGATTTGCCGACGATATAGTCGCAGAATCGCTGGAGGACCTGAGCACCATGCTCAATGACCTCAATAGTGTCTCCCAACGAATAGGTCTTAGGAAGAACATGGACAAAACAAAGATCATGTTTAATGTTCATGTCACACCTATGCCGGTAGTTCTTGGGAGCACTAAGCTCGAAGTTGTTGATGAGTATGTTTACCTGGGACAAATAGTACGACTAGGTAAGTCCAACTTCGACCGAGAGGTCAATCGACGGATTCAACTCGACTGGGCAGCGTTCGGGAAGCTAAGACACATCTTCTAGTCAGACATACCGCAAAACCTTAAAACGAAATTGTACAACCAGTGCGTGTTGCCAGTGATGACTTACGGATCTGAGACGTGGTCCTTGTTTGCTAGCCGTATGAGGAAGCTCAAGGTCGCTCAGCGAGCTATGGAGAGGGCTATGCTCGGGGTTTCTCTGAGTGATAAACTTAGAAATGAGTATATCCGCAGTAGAACCAAAGTGACCGACATAGCCTAACGGATTAGTAAGCTGAAGTGGCAGTGGGTCGGCCATATAGCTCGAAGAACCGACAACCGATGGGGAAGAAAGGTTCTTGAGTGGCAGCCTCGTACCGGTAGGCGAAGTGTAAGGCGACCCCCCACGAGATGGAGTGACGACCTGGTAAGACATGCAGGAAGTCAATGGATGCAGGTGGCTCAGGACCGTGCTTTGTGGCATTCCTTGGGGGAGCCCTATGTTCAGCAGTGGACTTATCAAAGGCTGTAATGATGATGATGATGTGTTACAGAAAACTTCACCTCAGTTTCAACCAGCGACATCTGGTGAGCAGAAGATTATTAGCCCTCAACTAAATTAGGCTGTGTGGGTATAAATACCATTGCCTACAAATCATTAAAAATGAGTTTTGAGTTTTGACAACTGACAGCTTACGTAAATGTCACTTTAGTTAGCTTTAGTTTGACTTTTACGTAAATGTAAGTTTTGCTGTAAAGTAAAATAAATAATATAAACTTATATCATGCCTAACTAGACATTGCTAAATAAATCAATTATAGATATTTTATCGACATGTGGCAATTATTTCAAACCCCTTCTTGCCAGCTATTACGGCTAAGGTAAATCCTAACCATTACGAAATTAAATTATTTGCGTAAAGTTAAGAAATAGAAGAAAAGCTGTTAATCTATTTGTGTTTTCAGATTGCTACCAATAAAAAGTAATGGGCATTATGTGAATTTTATATCAAATAAACCTTCGCTTGGTATAAAACGCTATTTTTCAGAAGTTAAAAAAAGTTCAGAGAAAGTCAACTCTTTCTTAATTTGTAGCCCTTGGAAACTGTGTACAGGTATAAGCTTAGGTTTAGGAGCTCGTTTATTTGTGGGCAATGGATCTGCTCTTTGTAAAGCCAATTTGTCACGGACTATTCAAAGAAGACCAAATTTACATGATGATAGTGCAAAGTTCGATTGGAAAAGGTTTTTCGAGTATCTCTTACCTCACAAATGGTTGTTGGTAGCTGCAGTTGCTGTAAGTCGTGGTTTAAATTAAATCGAATACCGTTATATTTATAATAAAGAAAGTCATCTTCGGGGGTTATCAATGCTCTATGAGTACAATATAATAATGGTCTGAGGATGTTTTTGGGGCTTCTAAGTTACTGCAGTGCATCAGGGATGTTCGCAATGGTGTACATGGATGGGTTTCACACCGTAGTGCGTAAGCGAATTGCATCCCTCCTGTGCACAGTGTGATGGAGCACCAACACTATTCTCAGAGTTATCAGTGAAAAGCCTCACTGTCCAATACTGCGGCACTGGGTGTACACTCACACACATGTTGCAGGGGTGTCATGCTGTGCAGGCAGATATTTAAATTAAAATAAATATTGTCCATGAAATGTTACTAACCTAGTTTTTAAGATCTCTTTTTTTATGCTACTAACCATATTATGGACAAAAGTCTGAAATAAATCAATGTTATTTTTATTTATTTATTATAGTAAATAAAAGAAAGCTTTTTGTTTATTTCCATTTTAATTACTTTAAAAGCCTAATGTAGTCAAAATCTCTGTGTCTAGAAGTCCAACTTGTTGATTGCAAACAAGGTAGATTAGATGTTTTTATATTCAATTTATAGTCTTTTAAGCATTGGTTAAATAGCTTTTTTTTTGTATATTTTACATAAACAAAGGTGTATGCATATCTTATCACATTTTTGGCCTTTAAGCCCACTGTTGGACCTAGAACTTTTCAAGAAAGGGCCAGTTGGTATGCTTTTTTATGATGCACACGTGCAGCTTCTAAAAAAGTATGCCACAGAACTGTAGATAAACAAAATTGGAATATAATTTTTTATAATAAACTTATGAAAGTACTTTTTATTTAATGGGAGAGTTACAATTATATGAAAAACATAAGAAACATTACATATGTATATATTAACATTACATAGAATTGTTTTTTTAAAATAATTATCTTATTGTTTCATAGTGAATGACTTAAAAAAGGTATACTAATTAACACATTCACGTAAGCAACGTCATCTCTAAATGTTTGTACTGCAGTGGTATAATGTTTGTACTTTTTTCCCATACAAAGTTAAGCAACGTCTCAAGACGTCCTGCCGTAATACGCATGTCTTAGAACTGTGTTATGTGGCGCAACGTTTCTTCACGTCCAACGTTTATAAACGTTGCCGCCACCGCGCAGGTCCGATATACCATAATAAATGACATAACGTTCATCCGCGGAAATAAATATGATAATCTAGAGGACGTCCTATGACGTCGCGCCATTTCATAGTTCTATCAACACGACGTTGTAAGACGTTGCTCACGCGAATGTGTTAATTATATATAAAATATATTAAAACTTTTATAAAACTCAACCTTCTTATATTTACTAAGTAATATTTGTTTATATACAGCCCTGGCTCATAAATCTTTTTTTTGTGTTTATTTTGTTTTATATTTGCAGTCTGCATTGGCAGTGGCATTTCTAAATGTGTACATTCCGTCAATGCTCGGTGTTATAGTAAATGTTTTGGCTAACATGAAGTACAATCCTACTGCAGACTTTATAGAAGAAATCAAGATTCCTGCATTGAAATTGATTTCGCTTTACATAGGACAGGTAACTTATTTTATACTTTTTCATTCCTTTATTATTAACTTTTTCTTTTCAGCTATCATAACTTATTTAACATATCACAAGGTACGAGGGTGGGTCAATAAGTCCGTGACTTTTGGAATAAAACACTGATTTTTGATAAATAAATCATTTTATTTTTCAACGTAGTCTCCCTTGACCTCTATACACTTTGTCCAACGCTTCTCCAATTTTTTTATCCCTTCCAAAAAATATGATTTGTCGAGGTCCTCAAAATAGGCCTTTGTTTGCGAGATGACTTCATTATTGGAGTCAAATCTTTTTCCACCAAGCCATTTCTTCAGGTTTGCGAACAAGAAGTACTCACTTGGAGCCAAATCTGGAGAATAGGGCGGATGAGAAAGCAATTCATAGCCCAATTCATGGATTTTTGCCATGGCAACTGCACATGTGTGCACCCTTGCATTGTCTTGGTGGAAAAGAACTTTTTTCTTGGCCAAATGAGGTCGGTTTTTTTTCAAATTGTCATTGTCATTCAAATCGGTCCAAAAAGTTGGCATAATATTCCCCATGATTGTTCTTCGCTTTTGAAGGTAGTCAATGTGGATTATCCCGCGTGCATCCCAAAAAACAGTCGTATAATAACCACCATAACTTTATTGGCTGACAAACCCACCTTGGCCTTCTTTGGCGCCGATTCAACCTTAGAATTCCACTGTTTTGACTGTTGTTTGGTCTCTGGTGTGTTGTGATGGATCCATGTTTCGTCCACGGTTACAAAACGGCGCAAAAACTCCTTATTGCGATTAAACAACGCCAAACCTTCCTGTGAAGTTGTTACACGATTGCGTTTGTAGTCGACTGTGAGCAAACGCGGCACCCATCTTGCGGAAAGCTTTCTCATGCCCAAGTGATCATTCAAAATTGAAACCACTGAGCCATGCGAGATCCCTACGGCTTCCACAATCTCTTGCACTTTCAATTTTCGGTCGGCCAACACCATATCGTGAATTTTTTTGATTGTTTTGGGTGAAGAGACCTCAACTGGGCGTCCAGGACGTTCGGCATCTTCAGTGCTTGTACGGCCACAATGAAATTCCGTAAACCACTTTTTTACCATTGAAATCGATGGTGCAGAGTCCCCATAGTATTTATCAAGCTTAGCCTTGGTCTCAGTAATGGTTTTTTTTCGCAAAAAATAATCTATACATATAATAAAACTGTAAATAGCAGATGTCTGTACATTTTATATTTTTGTAATAAAAGTGATTGAGGGGTACTAAAAATAAGTAATTAAATACATTTCTACCATTTTTAGAATTTTCTGTCTGTCTGTCTGTCTGTCTGTCTGTCTGTTTGTTTGTTAACGTATCACGTATAAAGTACTAATTTATATCATAAGAATTGTTAAGGAAATTATAAAGTGTATCTTCGGGTTACATTTAGTCTTTATTTCATTAAAATCAGTTCATTCCATCAAAAGTTATGATAAATATTCTGAAGTATGGGTAGGGAAGTATAGGTACGAATTTGCTCAACGGTGGCTTTGTTTGAGTCATCAAGTGCATTTTAAACTAATATCATATCATAAATCGTAGTTAAATTATGTAAAATAATGATAAATAATTATGTATATCTAAAACGCAGTAAACAAAAGTAATAAAGAACGTATTAAATATATTATACAAAAATATATTAACGTTATTAACTAAATCTGAAGCACAATAGTTAACCCATTTCTTCGATAGATGGTGGTGTTGTGAAAATGTAATGCAATTGCAAATGTCGTTTTTACCTGTAGATGAGTTTTCATATTTACTGCTAATCTTTATTATATTACTCGCTGCCCTACTGCGTGTTGACAAACTCAATTTGTTCTTTACCGCCGAGTACTCTATGTGGTAAATCAAATTTTAAAAGAGCTATTAACCATTGCATTGGTTTTGGCGAGAGTCAAACTTTATTTTTTGCTTACTGTGCAGGCACTGATTTATAAGTTCTCTTACGTTTTATATAATGTATCAATCGCGTTAATTAATCTCTTTTATTTTTAGAATTGATGATGTTAGCAGCGCCATCTCTCTTTAAATATATACATATAATAAAAATGATGATAACATGTGTCTCTTTCTGTACATTGTATATATATTTTGGTGGCTAAAATCATTATGATGAACTGAAAATAATTAAATAAGAACATTTTATAATTTTTAGAATTGTCTGTCTGTCTATTTGTCTGTTATTATATGAACGCATCACGTCTAAAGTAAACATCTTTTATTTTCAAAGAAATGGTTAAGAATATCATAAAGCGTATCTTCGAGTTACATTTAATCTTTGTTTTATTAAAATTGGTTAATTATATCGAAAGTAATGATTATTATTTTGAAATGTAGTTTCGAATTTGTTCAATGGCGCCATAAAATCTCAGAAATAGTAATAAAAAGATTTCTGTGTAAAAAAAACGTTCCATAATAATTAATATATTTATACTTAAAACACAGAAAGAGATAGGATGTTTTCTCACACAAAGGACGTAATAGATGGAGTTGTACAAATTACAAACTTTTCTGAATTGCAGTGTTGAGATTTTTCGCCGATGAATCGTATTGAGACTTACTGAAGAAATTTGTATCCAGCAAAGCAATACAACGGAACCAGACCAAAAATAAGAATTTCGCAACTAAATCTAAATGTCGCGATATTGTATTTATATTATACGCAAAATCAGAACTGCCATTTTAGCGCTTTGGGAACTAGATTTAGCACTTTTTTGGAATGTATAGCGCGCATTTCGAAATTTTAGCACCTAGCGCTTAATCCAGCGCTTTTTGGTGTATTTAGCACACATTTCAATATTTTAGCGACTAGCGGGTTATTAACTCTTTTATAGCAGCACTGTTAGTCCACATTAACGATAATAATAATAATGACCTTTATTATTTTTTCCCACAAATAGTACATTGCAGTTTATCTTTTTCAAACATATTTTTTCCACAAAACAAAGAGCATGGGAGACGAGTCCAAACTAGGATACCCTGTGCTATGGATCTCCTGGCTTCCCCTTTAGAATGATCAACTTGATTTTTTTACCGACAACTATAAGCGGGGAAATCCCCTTTATTAAAGTTTTCGTTCATGGTTTTGGCAACGCATTTATTATGCTTTATTCAGTTTCAGTCAGTTGCTTAGAGCACAGCTAAGTTAAAAGTTACTTAGAAGTTATAACACAAAGAAACTGTGTAGCAACCGCAATCAGATGCTGACATCTGAAACTAAGTTGCGAAATACATTGCACTTTAAAACAATTAATGACATTTTTATTGTTCGTACAGTACTAACTACTGTTGACAGCAATTGCTATAATTATAAGTCGATGTCCTGCGAAGTATTGATACATCAAAAAAATATTGCCAGAAAAAAAACTTAATGTTGTTTTCTTTATTATGATTATATAAAAAAACACAAACTTTGTTTGTAGTTAATTTAGCGCGAAATCTAGGGCTTTTTTAAAGCGCTGTTTTCATGAAATCTAGCGCTTTTTGTGTTGTCCTAGAGCTGAATGAGTTTTTTTATCTGGCAGCACTGCCCAAAAACCCTCTATTAAGATGTAACTTTCCTTTCAGTTTTAAGCGCGTTCAGTTCCCAGTTACAGTGAATGTGTGTTATGCGATGACCGTAAATAAAGCGCAAGGTCAAACTTTACGCGTTGTAGGAGTGTACCTCAGTACTGACTGTTTTGCACATGGCCAACTCTTATGTTGCTTTTTCCCGCGTTAGTAGCCCCCGTAACCTTTTTGTGTATACCCCGGCTAAGCCTACTTCTAACGTCGTTTACACAGAAGCTCTATCATAAACGACTTAGAACTTTGATGATAATGATTTATTTTTTTACCACTTATTGATACAGTAATGAAATAAATCGTTTAATATTCTCTTACCTAAACGACAAATTCTTTATGTAAAACCTGTATACGCGAGCTACGCCGCGGGCACAGCTAGTGCTTAATAAGCACACGAAATTCACTTTTTTCCATTTTTTCCTCAAATTACTGGGTAGTCTGATAAAGATAGCTGTCAAACACAAACTAACTGACGCAGCAAGTTCAAATTTTGACAGGAGTCAACTGACAGATGCCTGTTGACAGGAGTAGTGTTGCTTTTTCAGTAAAGAGGTCAGAAATTCAAAAAGTCACGGACTTATTGACCCGCCCTCGTACATACCTCAAAATAATATTAAGCAGTGATTTTACAAATTATTTTAATAGTTTTATAAATCTTCAAGATACTCTCTGAAATCCTCCTTCAAAATCTCCTTTGATGTGATCTGTTGAGACAAACTCTTGATGAAATTTCATACAATATTCTCTACTACCTTTATAGATATTTTTCCTACTTGTGTGTAAAAGTAGCCTTTAAGCTCATCAACACATGAAGTCTTCATTCATAAGCAATTGTGCTCTTCCGAGCTTATATCATTTCTCATATTATGATACATTAGTTTTGTTACATTTCTCTCATCTTGCTTTGTGGATTGTAGACTAACGTTTGTTTAATTATGTGTTGGTTCCTAGAAGTTCCTTTATAGGTGGTAGAGCCATGCTGCAGCTATATTAGTAGTATAGTAGTAGCATGAATGTGTCGGCTCGACCGGGGAAGGACCACACGCTCACAGAATACCAGCGTAAAATAGTAGCTTAACATTACTGTGTTTCGTATGGTGAGTGTAGAGAACCAGAGTCCCTATTTACTGGAAAAGAGGCATTCCATCTTAGTCCTCACGGGTGCCAACGCATCTGCATTTTGATTCTTTATTGAGGATAGATGTAGATGTCTATGGGTCACAGCAATCACTTACCATCAGGTGGACCGTGTGAACGTTTGTCACCCTATCCTATAAAAATATTTCAAAGTTCATTAATACCATTTATTTACTAAAGAAACTAACTGAGGACTAATAAACGATGTCCATGAATGAGAAAACAGAGTACAATGCAAAACATTCCATTTTATTTTTTTTTAATTTTGCTATGTTATTTGACAGTTATAGCTGAAAACAAAAGAATAATTATCTAAAATGTTTATTTGATAATAATATTTTAACAGTTGTTTGCATATTATAAAAAAAATAGTACACTCATCAGTTTGTAATAGTCCGCTGGTCGATATGGGTCTCCCCCATAGTTGGGGAGACCCATATCGTCGTCTTAATCATCACTGTGGGCAGTTAATTTTTCTCAGTACCAGAATTCTTGCACACATTGACACTGCTCCTGGTTGCTGAGCAGTGATTTTACCATCGGCCATATATGAGATATAATACTGTACCGACTATTGAAAACCAAACAACAGAAGAATTGGGTGAAAATCACCATTAGTGAATGGCACCGCCATTGAATTAACACTGCCTACGAAATTACCGCACCACTTTGAGATACAAACAATAATTATTGAAACTAGTAAATTTATGAATGCGTCTTTTACCATTCAGGCCGTTCGTTTATGGAATGAACTCCCACTGGCAAAAATACGCGTACCATCCATTCCAGTATTTAATGATTGATGATGATTAAAACAATGTAGTTTATTGATTCCATTTATCTATATATAGCTAAATATATATTATGTATTTTATTTATTGTATGTATATAAACAAGGGGCATTTTTTTTTTTTTTTTTTTTTTTTATAGGAGAGGGGGCAAACGAGCATGCGGCTCACCTGATGGTAAGTGACTACCGCCGCCCATGAACAACCGCAACAACGGGTTTTTTTTCATTCATTACAACCTTTCATAAGTCCACTGCTGAACATAGGCCTCCCCCAAGGAATGCCACAAAGCACGGTCCTGAGCTACCTGCATCCATCGACTTCCTGCATGTCTTACCAGGTCGTCACTCCATCTCGTGAGGGGTCGCCCTACACTTCGCCTACCGGTACGAGGCTGCCACTCGAGAACCTTTCTTCCCCATCGGTTGTCGGTTCTTCGAGCTATATGGCCGGCACACTGCCACTTCAGCTTACTAATCAGTTGGGCTATGTCGGTTACTCTGGTTCTACTGCGGATATCCTCATTCCTAAGTTTATCACGCAGAGAAACTCCGAGCATAGCCCTCTCCATAGCTCGCTGAGCGACCTTGAGCTTCCTCATACGGCCAGCAGTGAAGGACCACGTCTCAGATCCGTAAGTCATCACTGGCAACACGTACTGGTTGTACGATTTCGTTTTAAGGTTTTGAGGTATGTCTGACGAGATGTGTCGTAGTTTCCCGAGCGCTGCCCAGCCGAGTTGAATCCGTCGATTGACCTCTCGGTCGAAGTTGGACTTACCTAGTCGGACTATTTGTCCCAGGTAAACATACTCGTCAACAACTTCGAGCTTAGTGCTCCCAACAACTACCGGCATAGGTGTGACATGGACATTAAACATGATCTTTGTTTTGTCCATGTTCATCCTAAGACCTATTCGTTGGGAGACACTATTGAGGTCATTGAGCATGGTGCTTAGGTCCTCCAGCGATTCTGCCATAAGGACTATATCGTCGGCAAATCGAAGGTAAGTGATGTACTCGCCATTGATGTTAATACCGTATCCTTTCCAGTCCAGAAGCTTGAAAGTGTCTTCCAATGCAGCGGTGAAGAGTTTCGGGGATATAACATCACCCTGTCTTACACCTCTCTGCAATTGGATAGGTTTCGTACTCTGGTTCTGTACTCGGATAGCCATCGTAGCTCTACTGTACAAACACTTCAGCACTTCGATATACCGACAGTCAACTTGGCACCGCTGAAGGGACTACCTAAGGGTATAAATATGAAATTTCGTCTTGACAACTTCATTACTTCTTATGTAACCTTCAGTCATAAACCACGGGAATGACTGATGACTTGAAAATGTTGAAAAAATCGTACACAATGCGGTGGTTAAATTCCTCACTAGGAAAAACTAAAAAAGACATTTATAAAAAAAATGGTGGCCGTTTACCAATACTGCTCCTTTAAAGTCAACCGTACAAAAGTGGTCAAGTGAATTCAAAAGAGGCAGAGAAAGCATTGAAGGTGACTCCCGCCCAGGTGGGCCAATCACAGCGGCTACAGACGAAAATGTGAAAATTAATGAAAAACTTGTATTAGAAGATGCACGAGTAAGAATCAAGGTGTTAGCAGAAATGATTAACCTATCATAAACACCATATTGCATGACTATCTCAACCTCACAAAAGTCAGTGCAAGATGGGTACCGCGAATGCTCACTGCGCCTCAAAAGCAGGCGCTTGTTGACTGAGAGTAAACAAGAGTCTATGCAATGACATAAAAAGGGATCAGACCCAAGAAGTTCAAAGTCACTCCATCGGCCGGTAAAATCATGATCACAGCGGTTTGGGATTCCAATGGAATACTATTGATCGAGTAAAAAAAAAAAAGGTGAAACCATCAACACAAACAAGTACTCAGCCAATTTACGCCGTTTGAGGGAAGCAATAAAAGAAAAGAGAAGAGAAAAGCTGACCAAGGAGTGCTGCTTCTTCATGACAACACACCGGTTCACACGGCGCGGCTCTCCAAGGCTGCTATGCTACACTGCGGGCTTGAGGAAATTAACCACCCACAATACAGCCCAGATCTAGCCCCTAAAGACTACTTTTTATTCCCAAACTTAAAAAAAGACCCTCATGGAAAGTGATTTGCTGATGATAATGAGCTCAAGTCAATGAGTATTTTTCAGGCCAAGAGGAACATTATTTTTCAAGGGAATAGAAAAGCTTTTTTCACAAACAAGTAAATGTATTGTCATGGGAGATTGTAAATACTATGTTGCAAAATAAAAAAATATTTCATAATTTTATCTTTCTTTTTTAACATAACCATACTAAGAATACATTGAACACTCCTCGTAACTGTGTTATATATATATATATATATATATATACATAAATAAGTTTATGTATATTACTTTTTACCTCTTTGTTTTATCACACTGACTTGCCCCACCCCTGTCATTCTTCGACGGCAAACCTGTCCATTCATTGGTTGTCTGGAAAAAAATGCTGTCAGCAATAAAATCGCTTTTGCAGACTTCTTTCGTATAAATAATCTTTGTAGGTCTTGTATGGTTTTTTTTATAGGATAGGGTGACAAACGAGCACACAGTCCACCTGATGGTAAGTGGATGCTGTGGCCCATAGACATCTACATTTATCCTCAATTAAGAATCAATGTATCACAAAATGGAATGCCTCGTTTATAGTAAAAAGGTCTCTGGTTCTCTACACTCACCATATGAAACACAGCAGCATTAAACTACTATTTTACGCTGGAGCCGACCCATTCGTGCTACAACAATAACGTAGATGCTGCGTTGCTCTACCACGTTTAATATAACACACATTAAACTTTAAGGGCGATATAATATCCTCCAGTCATCAGGTAGACTGTGCTCGTTTGTCACCCATCTATATACAAATAAATAAAATTGAAGTGTCTGTTTGTAATGTTAAAATAATAGCTTTTTACTAAATGCATATGAATGTATATACGGTATTTAAAACAAAAACACAAGTTTTAAAATTTTTGTCTGTCTGTCCTGACCGACAGTCTGTCTGTCGTCTGTCTGTCTGCTTGTTCCGGCTAATCTCCGAAACGGCTGGACCGATTTCGACGGGACTTTCACTGGCAGATAGCTGATGTTCTAAGGAGTAACTTAGGCTACTTATATTTGAGAAAAATAATTAGGTTCTGAGCAATATAATTGAAACCCTAATATATATATATATATATATATATATATATATATATGTGTGTGTAATTTTCCACTTTTTCCAGACAAATTTTTCATAAATAATAATATAGAATGTTGCTGTATTTATAAATCTTGACATTCATATAAAAATTTTAAGAAATCAGTATTAGCAATAATTAATTTCTGTTGCCAGTGTCAGTGATTTGCAAATTATTTATTTGAATAATTTACAATAATTAATGTTATTTATATTTAAAAATGCATTTTTTTACATAAACAGTTATGATGATGTCAATATTTCAGGCAGTATTTACATTTTTCTACATACACTTGCTCGCTCAAGTGGGAGAGCGTGTTGCCGCACAAATGAAACAAGACCTGTTTGTGTCTATTTTAAATCAGGATATGGCGTTTTTTGACCGAGAAAGAACGGGGGAACTTGTTAACAGGTATTTACCAAAAACATTTGATTGTTTGTTTTTTATACTGTGCTGAATTTTAATATATTTAATTAAATTTTAGGATAACAGTAGATGTTCAAGACTTCAAGAGTTCCTTTAAACAGACGATCTCTGGAGGACTCAGAGCTATTACACAGGTAAAGTGTTTATAATTTCAAATACATATTACATAATTTTTGAAGTAAGATTAATTCACTTCACTACTAGTAATGCCCAGCTTGCATTGCAATGCCTTTTTTTGTCAAAAACGATCGTACACGACGCACCACAAGATGCATCTTGTAATCGGATGAATGGTAAAGAAACGCAAAGAATATGAACTAAATCATCAAATATTATTTTTTATATAATAAGATTGTTCTTTTTATTATAGAAACAGAAAAAGGAACTTTTTTATTCAATATAGATTATAAATAATACTTATTGAAAGTCGCTGTTTAGTTTAATTACCACTGGTTCGAGAAAAAACCTCTGTCCTGGGAAGAATCAGCAAGAAACCTAACGGGACTTTTTTTTAAATAACAGCTTACAATCATGTATGTTACACAATTAACCACACAAAACTAATTAGAAATAGCTTACTAGCGATCACCTCATTTCCAGGGGTTATTATCATCCATAAATTCCTTAATATATAATAACCCTTTTTATACAAACTTTGTCTAATAAAGTTTTTGAACTTTGACCACGTCAAATTTTGTATATTTTTTTTTTTTTTTTTTTTATAGGATCGGGTGACAAACGAGCACACAGTCCACCTGATGGTAAGTGGTTACTGTGACCCATAGACATCTACATCTATCCTCAATAAAGACTCAAGATGCAGATGCGTTGTCACCCGTGAGGACTAAGATGGAATGCCTCTTTGCCAGTAAAAAGGGTCTCCGGTTCTCTACACTCACCATACGAAACACAGCAGCGTTAAGCTGCTATTTTACGCTGGTTTTCTGTGAGAGCGTGGTCCTTCCCCGGTCGAGCCGACCCATTCGTGCTACAACCATAATATAGCTGCAGCATGGCTCTACCACGTAGAAAATATTTCCTGGGATTTTGTTGTAAAAGCGTATACATCGCCCCAAGCTTGTGTCTGTTCCTAGTATTTACAGCATGAATATAACTTATTTTTGTAAATCTACTTTTATTTTTGTTTACGTACATTACATTTTCATAAATGTATTGAGAGGCCAAAGTTAATATATTAATTTCCTTAAATTTTGTCGCAGCGACTCTTAGGGCTTAAATCATAAATTGCTCTTATGGCCCTCTTTTGTAAAACAAATATAATTTCAGTGTCAGTTGCGTGTCCCCATAGCAAAATACCATACGACATTATGCTATGGAAATAGCTAAACAAGTCTAGCTGTTTCCAACACTGGTAAGGTTTCTAATCTTTTTTACAGCATATGCTGCAGAACTAAGTCTGCGTGCTAATTTTGATATATGGGGACTCTATTGAAGCTTCGCGTGTTGTGTTATTCAAAGAAAAATTATGGTATCGACAAGACTCAAAACCTCCTCATTTAAAACTACATTAGTATTTAATTTTTTGACATTTGGAGTCATGAATTTCATACATTTTGTTTTAGTGCCATTTAAATGCAAATTAATAACATTAAACCAATTTACTAATGTAGATATGACATTATTTACTTCGTCATATTTCAATAATTGTCGTTTTAATTTGAATATTAATGATGTCTCATCAGCACATAATACTTAGTAAGTCACAAAAATACAGAAAGGGGCTGAGAGTTGAGCCTTGAGGCACGCCCATATGTACTATCGACCCGGAAGAGCTCATACTATTAATGACAACTTTTTGCGTTCTGTTACTTAAATATGAAATCATTAATTTAAGAGCATTACTTCTTACACCGTAGTATTGTAGTTTCCTGATAATTGTTTCATGGTGAACATAATCGAAGGCTTTGGATAGGTGACAGAATATACCCAAAGCATCCTGTGAATTCTCCTCAACACTAGCATCAGTTGTCGAGCGGCCCCTTGTGAAACCTAATTGATTTTTATGAAGTAATGTTTTCTTATATTTACGCGAACACTGTCCCCCACATCAGTCCCCTTGACCATGGGTGCTGTAAAGCACCCGAAACTTCGGGAATTAATAAAAATAAGTTAATTAAACGCGATAAAATTCGTAAAAGTAGTTTTATTCAATTTATGAAGTAAATTATTAATTATTAACATTAAAATAAATTAACATTTGATCAAGAATAACTTGTCACCGGGGTTGCCACAGCAAAATTTCTATTGTGTTATTCTAAGCCAGCGCTTAACTACAATCTTATCCGATGGTAAGTGGTGATGTAGCCTAAGATGGTAAACACTCTTGCCTTGAAAACACCCACATTGTAATCGGATGGAAAGACAGTTGTTGGCAACTTATTCTACTCCTTTTCTGTACGTATGGTGAACGACGTAGCAAACCGTTTGGTTTGAATGCGTGGTCAATCGTGGTGATTCAACAACGAAAGAGTGGAGACTGGCCGAACGTCTGCTTGTCCGATGGTGGAAGGGAATGGGAGGAATTAAATTATGAAATTCCTGCGCACGCTCCGAAATTCATCCTGTAGAAAACCGAAAGGCTGGCTACTTTGCGCCTGTGTTTGAGGCTGTTAAGATTGGTTTTAACCAAATTAGGGTCACCAATAAAGCTCTTAGCACGCCTTTCCATTGAGTGCAAAGCTGCTAGGTGGCATTTTCGCAGCACCAGCCCATATATGGCAGCAATATTTCATGCACGACCGTACTTGCGCTTTGTATAAAGTAAGCAGCTGTCAGCGTGAAGTATCGCCGCACCTTTGCAAGGAGTCCCAGCTTCCCTGCAGCTGCTTTGGCCTTGGACTGAATGAACCGCCCGAAGTTCAGATTTGAGGATATCTCAACCCCTAACAACTGAAGGCGGTCGCTGTATTCCAATGATACATTTCGGAAAGAAGGAGCCAAGGTGAGCTGGCTCCTTTTTGCAGTGAAGAGACACGCTTGTGGTTTGGAGGCGTTGAATTTCACAAGATTAGCATCGCCCCATTCGGAGACTGCCTGTAGTGTAAGATTCACACGTTCTACCATAGCTTCTCTTTCGGACTGGATTTGATCCCGACTGGCCAGAGGACTTGGTTGGATAGATATCGGGCATGGAGATCAATAATATGCAGCAGGAAGAGAGTTGCGGAGAGAACGGACCCCTGAGGGACGTCGGCGTTAGTCGCCACAGGAGGAATGAGCAACCATCGACGACGACCCGGACAGACCGTTCACTCTGAAAGAATTTTACCCAGTCAATCAGACCAAGCTGTATACTGGAAGCATACCCAAAAGGCTACCGTGCCAAACTCTGTTAAATGCGTTTGAGACATCAAGGGAAACAGCAAGTGCTTCTTCACTGTTCTCGAGTGCCTCGCCCCATACGTGTGTGTGGCATACGCTAGAAAGTCCCCAGCTGACCGATTTCGGTGAAACCGGTATTGACGGTCACTAAGGAACTCATTCTGTTCTAGGTATGCTATTAAGCGGGCGTTCAATATACGCTCCATAATCTTGCAGAGTATGGAGGTAATTGAGATTGGCCGATAATTGGCAGAGTCGGCACAGCTGCCTTTTTTTGGAACAGGCTGCACGTTGGCCAGCTTCCAGGATTTTGGCACTATTCCAGTCCTAAATGAGAGGCGGAACAAGGGTGTCAACACAGGAGACAACTCCGCTGTTTCAGTCCAGGATAGTCAAGATACGCCGCATTCAATGGACATCTAATTTGTCCAGTCTCAAGATGGTGGTGGACTGCGCTGAAATTGTACAACCTGTTTCATTATAAAATGTTACTTTAAAAAAAGTTCTCGCTAAGTTTCTTGTTGGTAGGTAGTTCACAGGACAGTTTTTTCCGAACCAGTGTTAAAAATAAAATATTATGCCTTTCATTAAGTTATATTTAAAATAGACATTAAAGAAAAATAACTACTATAATATTTATAGTTTTATTCTATTAAAAAAATGATGATTAATTGTAACTAATTTTACGGATTTTATCGCGTTCTATTTTCACTTATTTTTATTCTTTATTAAATTGAAATTAGTTTCATTCAATATATATCCACGGCTTTTTATGCCACCAGGGCGGCGCCACTAGAAAGTGAGGTGTAATATTTGGCAGATTTCATAGCGGGATAGTTAATTTGTTCGGAAAATTAAGTTATTGTTTCTTTCTGCACTATTAGCTACATTTTATATTAATAAGATTTAAAATAAATAAACTAAACCACAGATATACATACAAGTATTTTTATTTAAAAAAAAATTAAAAATGTGAAAGATAAAAATTAAAGAGCTTTAACTAATGTCCGTGTAGTGTGATAGAAATGAGATAAAGTCCTTGTAAGAAATAGCAGTTTATTATATACACGCGTGTTACATCAGTGCCGGCCATATTGCTACTGCCTCACACAATGCAGTTACATAGGTACTATTGGTATATATGCTAAGTGTAGTTACAGAGCAAACCATTGACGCATTGTTTTGTGTATTAATTTAATACTCTAGAAACTGATAAAATTCTATTAAAAACCAACTTCCCAATTAAATTACACTGTGTAACAAAAACTTTACCTCAGTGTCAACTAGCGACATCTGGTGAGCAGAAAGTTATTAGCCCTCATTGTCTTGTATAATTTAAATACAGGTATTTATTTGGAAGCACATATATCAAAAACAAACCAAGTCTTAAGTCTATCTCCAAAACTTGAAATTCGCGATGATCTTTTGATTAAGTGCCATTTTTACTTTAATAATTTCTAACACTATTATGTTAAAATAATTATATAAATATTAAAAGGCTGATGTGATATTTATTAGTATGAAACGTGGATTTAACACTCAGCATCTAATGGAAAGGGTTATGCTTGGGACTTCTTTGCGGTATAAAATTTGTAATGGAGATATCTGTAGACGCACAAGAATAAAATCTTAATCATAATATATATTTATTTTACCGTTTAAATGTGTTGCATGAAATTGGTTTTATAGTAGTATCATAATTTGGTATCGAGATATGCATGTTGAAAATAGGTCACTAACGTAAGAACGTATAAACATACATACACTCGCAAACACACACAAGGTATTTTAAAATTTAGACTTTCAAATATGTCGTATATTTGTAGTAGCTTAATTGTAGTATATAAATGCTTTAACAAAGTTCAACATATGAAGTTAATTATTTGATATATAAATTAAGTTTTCTTAATTTATTAATAATAATGTATTGTTTCTAGGTAGTCGGTTCTGCGGTCAGTCTACTCGTTATATCGCCTCACTTGACAGGGTTGACAATGATTTGCATACCATCGGTAGTCATTGGGGGGACATTTATCGGATCTCTATTGAGGAAACTTTCTAGAGAGGCACAAGCACAGGTTCGTTGTTAGGTGTAAACCCAAAAAAAATTGAAGGTGATTTTTTTATGGAATCAAATGATCTCAATTTTTCACCAACTTGCATTAAGAAGAAACGATGAGGACCTTTCTATTAAGACTTAAGTGTTGCAGTCAATCATGGTCTTGTGTAGAATATTTCAATTGTGGCAGATTTGAGGTCATTTATTTATTTAGCTTGGGGTAATATTACCCTTACTAATATTTTAAAGATAATATATATTATCTTAACAATATTAGAACTTGTTAACCAAAATAAAAACAATCTATTTTTTTTTAGTTAGAAAAGGCAACTCTAGTCGCGGAGGAGGCAATCGCAAATATGCGGACGGTTCGCGCGTTCGCAGGCGAAGAGAACGAGGCGAGTATGTTTGCGGACGAATGCCAAACTGCGGCCGACCTTAGTATGGAGCTGGGCTTAGGCGTAGGCCTGTTTCAAGCCGGAACCAATCTGTTCCTGAATGGGTATGAATCTAAATAACACAAATAACATATCTATCTCTTATTTGATTATGCTCTGGTTGCTCGCACATTATGATTAACGCAAAACTATCATGTAAATAAGGCAAATTCCGCGAATGTTCTGTCCGAAGCGACACACATACTATGATATTTGTATTACTGACGATACGAATATTGTGTGGCAGTACCAGTCGTCACTCCACCGGCACTGTGGTTTGTTGTAATCTGATATAGTTTGCTATGTCTAGATAATTAGACTACTCTTCGACTAACTGTCATAATAACATTTTTATACGTGGTAGAGCTATGCTGCAGCTATATTTCTGGTATAGTTGTAACACAAATGGGTCAGCTCGACCGGGGAAAGACCACGTTCTCACAGAATACCAGCGTAAAATAGCAGCTTAATGCTGATGATGTGTTTCGTATGGTGAGTGTAGAGAACCGGAGACCCTTTTTACTGGAAACTGAGGCATTAAAATCTTAGTCCTCACGGGTGACAACGCATCTGCATTTTGATTCGTAATCAAAGATAAATGTAGATATCTATGGCCTATAGCAACCACTTACCATCAGGTGTACTGTGTGCTCCTTTGTCACCCTTATGCTATAAAACAACTGTATTTACTTCTGAACATAAGCATCCCCATAGATTGCTTCATAAGGTGAATATTTGCCATAGTTGCCACGGTTGGCAAGCGGGTTAACAACCGCAGTTTGCTTATTTAATTCAGCTGTTATCATATAATAATATGCTGCTGTTAATGTCCATGGTTTTATGGTCCCATTATTGATAAAAGATGTAGCATATTATAATTGTATTGTAAATGTTTAATCTAGTACGTTAGTTTTAATTACTTCTTGAGTCTACCTTTACTTAGATAAAAAATCTCACATATAAATAAAAGAAAGAATGACAGTAACCAGCGTTACGTTTTAATTCTTAATCCAGACTTGATGTAAAGTGGTTTTAGGTCACAGTATATACGTGGTAGAGCCATGCTGCAGCTATACTATAGGTCGGCTCGAGCGGGGAAGGACCACGTTCGCACAGAATACCAGCGTAAAGTAGCAGCTTGATGTGTTTTTTTTATAGGATAGGGTGACAAACGAGCACACAGTCCACCTGATGGTAAGTGGTTGCTGTGGCCCATAGACATCTACATCTATCCTCGTTTGGGAAAAAATGCAGATGCGTTGTCACCCGTGAGGACTAAGATGGAATGCCTCTTTTCCAGTAAAAAGGGTCTCCAGTTCTTTACACTCACCATACGAAACACAGTAGTGTTAAGCTGCTATTTTACGCTGGTATTCTGTGAGGGTGTGGTCCTTCCCCGGTCGAGCCGACCCATTCGTGCTACAACTATACTACTAATACAGCTGCAGCATGGCTCTACCACGTATAATAACGTACGTACGTACGTTACGTATGGTGAGTGTAGAGAACTGAAAAACATTTTACTGTAAACGAGGCATTCCATCTTGTGATATCGCATCTGCTTTATGATTCTTAATCGAGGGTAGATGTAGATGTCTAAAGGCCAATGCATCCACTTAGCATTAGGCGGACTGTGTGATCGCGTATATCACTTTTATATAAAAAAAGCATTCATTTATTATCATGTTGACTATGAGCGCGTTTGTCACCCGTGTAAATCCAGAAATATAAAGATCGCTTTGACCTACGTCAACGTTTTGCGGTATAATATAATGGATATTAAAACTAGTGTTAGTTTTCTTTTTTTTTTTTTATGTTATATATTTAGGTGCTTCTTCATACGAGGTAAGACACATCATTTTATTTTATAACGCGGATATTTGTGAAGTAAATTTTTGTAAAAGCTTTTATATAATGGATTTCCGCAAAGTAACGCCTGATTCTATTAATTAGATCCAGAATAACTGACATAGCCCAACGGATTAGTAAGCTGAAGTGGCAGTGGGCCGGCCATATAACTCGAAGAACCGACAACCGATGGGGAAGAAAGGTTCTCGAGTGGCAGCCTCATACCGGCAGGCGAAGTGTAGGGCGTCCCCCCACGAGATGGAGTGACGACCTGGTAAGACATGCAGGAAGTCGATGGATGTAGGTGGCTCAGGACCGTGCTTTGTGGCATTCTTTGGGGGAGGCCTATGTTCAGCAGTGGACTTGTGAAGGGCTGTAATGATGATGATGATGATGATGATGATGATGATGATGATGATGATGATTCTGAATACAGGCCTTCAATTTGCGCGGCCAGTCGTCTATCGCAGCACGAACGAGGTCCATGTCAATATCGGCGGCTGCCTTAATCAAGGATGTCTTGAGGCTGAGGATGAGGCTTTGAGCACGACTTTTCCTCCAAATGTTGCCACATCTTGTAATCTAACGGATTCAAATCTGGACTAGAGGAGGGCCAGTCTTCGTGCCGGATGAAGTCGATTTCGCGCGCCGCCAGCCAGTCTTGTGTGCTCTTCGCTCTATGAGCTGGCGCCGAATCTTGTTGGAATACCCAGTGCCTGTTATTGAACATGGTATGAGAAACAGGTTCCACAAGGTTCGTCAGGACTTTATTTTGATACACAACTGCATTGGTTTTTACACCTTTCTCACAAAAATGTACCTCTGTTAAGCCCCAATAAGAAACTCCCAACCATACCATGAGCGAGGATGGAAAATGACCTCGTTGGACACGTGGAATACGGTTGCTCGCTTCTTCACTACTGTGTGCGTACACCTTATCATTTTGTTTGTTGTAGCTCTGTACTACGGTAAAAATTTTTTCATCCGAAAAAAGAATTTCCCGTTATTTTTTTCCCGCGTACCGCTTCAACGAAGCGCGGCATCTCTTCAGTCTCAGGTCCATTAGACGAGCATTCAAACGATGTCCTGTTTTTCTTCGATATGCCCTGTATTATCTGCTATCTTCTCTAACCACTGTGGTGTAACACAGGCTCGGCACGCACTTAACTAAACACGTCCACTCTCGCCCGAGGCTCTCGTGTAACTGACGCGGTGCGCTCGAGACAGTGACTTATATATGCAAACACTACATCTCTTTCTTATCAAGATTTTTTTTTTTTTTTTATAACTCATAACAATCACAAGCAGCTTGAATTTTCTGTATTAATTATTACATATTTTCGTCTTCTTTATCCTGTTCTAGATTTTGTTCTTTTTCATTCTGATCGGGTGAAATAGCCGTCCAATCGCCTCCTACTTTCTTCAAATGTATCACATTTATCCTAAACCTTTGGTTCGTTTCACTATTGCGTACTGTGCAGTCACCGTCTCGTGCAATCTCTACGACGTGTGGCGTCGGTTTAAAATTTGTTGTAAGATTATTCGATTTTTCCACTGCTTTTACGTAAACCTTATCTCCCTGTATTATATCTGAGTGAGTTGATCTGCGTTTCCTATCTACATACTCTTTTCCTTTTTCTTTTTGTATTTTGTCTCTATCCTGATATCTGAATCTAAATGATTGTCTGTAATTTATTTCACCTATTGATGGAATTTTATCCCTACTTTTTCGTTGAAAAAACAGTTCAGACGGTAACCTCCCGGTAACTGTAAGGAGGGGTGCTGTTATACATTAGAAGATACTCCCACAAACATTCTTTTAAATCCTTCCTCTCGATCTGGCTGATACGAAGACTTTTCAAAATATCTCTGTTTTGTCTTTCAACTTCGCCGATCACTTGAGACCAATATGGTACAGTACTAAATAACTTAATGTTACATTCTTTGAAGAAAGATCGAAACTCTTCACTAACGAACTGCTTGCCATTGTCTGCGGTGATAGAAATAGGATAACCAAGTCTACTGAACATTTCTTTTACCATTTTAATAATCTGTAAGCTTGTGATGTTTTTGTCATTTTTACTTCTTTGTATCGACTATAGTAGTCGACCACTACTAACAGATACTCGTTACTTGGCAATGGTCCCATTAGATCCACTGTGACATCTATCCATGGAGCTGCAGGCAACTCTCGTCTCTCCATTGGTGCAGGTAGGTTTGGCAAACCCACTAACGTACAACCTTTACAGGCCTTTACTAATTGTTCTACGTCTTTATCGATACGGGGCCACCATACCTTTGATCTCAAGCGTCCCTTCATCGCTACGATACCTGGATGACCCTCGTATGCAGCATCTAATACACTCTTGCAGAGTTGATGTGGTATTACAATTTTATTTCGACGCAGTAGAATGCTATCATGGAAACAACTCGTTTCCAAAAAATTTGTAACTCTTAATCGAATCGTTCCAGTCGTTCTGATAGACACCCTTTTTCACTTTGTAAATCTCTTCGTCTTTTTCTGAATATGCTACAATGGTACTCATTGGTATAGCAACTAGTCTAGAATTTTCCACTATTTGGTACACATGCTGGTCTTTTCCTTTTGGTGGGTTATCAGGATAGTTACATAATCGTGACAAGGGATCAGCTATATTTGTTTTTCCTGGCTTGTATACAACCTTGAATGAATAAGACTGTAGCCTCAGTACCCATCGTTCAATCCTCGCACATGGTTTTGACTTAGACCCGAACAATATCTCTAGCGGCTTGTGGTCAGTGACCAAATCAAAACGCTTTCCAAATAAAAAAAAATTAAATGTTCGACCCCCCAAACTAATGCTAGTGCCTCTTTTTCCGTTTGGCTATACCTGCGCTCGCAGTCTGTCAAAGTTCGATTACCATAGGCAATAATGCTAGGGCCATTTGTATCATTTTGTACAAGGACAGCACCAAGTCCAACAGGGCTAGCATCTGCTATCACCTGTCTTGCATCTCTGACGTCATAATACCCCAAAATCTGTATTTCCGTGAGAATCCGTTTGAGTTTTTGGAATGCTTTATCTTGTTCCCCAGACCCTTGTTTTTCCAAGCTCTTCCTTTTGCTCATCTTCGGTCTTAGCAGATGCTTCAGAAGTTCTGTCATGGCGGCCAAGTTAGGTATCCATTTGTTTATGTAGTTTAAGAGTCCTAAAAAACTTTGGAGTTCTTCTATGGTCTTTGGGACCCTAAATTTCATAATGCTCTCAACGTACTTGTTGAAGGGTTTACTCCTTCATGTGTAAGCCTGTATCCCAGAAAATTCACATCCTGCGTTTTATATATGCATTTATTGCTATTCAGCACAGCGTTGCTTTTACTAAGTACCTGTAGAACTATCTTTAGTCATGCGTCATGTTCTTCTTCACTGTTCCCGAATACCAGGATATGATCAATAAAATTTGACGACCTCTTCACAGTTTATCAGCATCCTTTCAATGATCTTCTGAAAAATCTCGGAAGCGCAGGTAATTCCAAGCATTATTCTTTTATATCTATATAATCTTTTGGGGGTTATAAAAGTCGTTATGTATCTGGATTCAGAGTGAATTTCCACTTGATGGAAGGCATTTTTTATGTCTAGTTTGTTAAAATATTTAGCTTTCTTCATTTTAGGCAAAAATGGTCCATAGTAGGCGGGGGGTGGTTTTCTCGCAATATAGCGGCGTTCGTACATCTCATATCTACGCACAAACGTAATTCACCATTTTCTTTCATGATTGGAACATTGGTGAAACCCATTTAGACGGGCCTTGCACTTCTTCAATTATATCACTGTTTAGTGATTCCTTATTTTTGATTGCAACCTTCTCTTTAATGGGGATCGGTACTCTCCACTTGATTTATCCCGATACCAAGTTTTAAGACACCCAGACGGACTGCTTTGTTCTTACCCAACAGGTCTCTAGTACCCCCCGAAATCACGTAAATGGTTGTACGTTCCTTTCGTCCATCGACTTCGAGTTTCAAATGAACCCTCTATTGCCAAAGGAGAGTTACTACCATATGCTAATAATGTCTTGTCTGGTCTTTACATTTGATTTAAAAACATACTTTTTTGCTTATTTTAACTCTTCCCACGTTTTGTAAGATATAAGGTTCTTGCGCAATTTCGAATTACACTTTTCCGCAATTTGATCTATGAGATGATCATCTTGCTTTTCGAATGCACACCTTTCGGCCTGTTGACGCAATCTTATCAAAAACTTCTCAAATTTTTCTCCTTTTTTAGCAATCGAAAAACATGCCGCTCATAAACTTTGCTCCGTTTAGGTTGAAAATACTCGTCGAGTTTTTTTTTGGCTACTTTAAATACATCAACGGTTTCTGATGATTCGACATTGGCACCCGGTAAATTATAGAATATTTCTTGTATCCCAGAGCCACCAAAATGCAATAGCGTAGCTCGTTTCTTGAGTGCTGATATAACTTTAGCTGCGTCCAGATAGATTAGTAGAGACCTTTTCCATTTTTCAAACCTTATAGCCATAGATGTGCTATCACATTAAAGTTGATAACGGTATCATTATTATTATTTTAGGGGCAAACTGAAACAGTTTCTTATATATTTATTTCCAATTTAATGCTGGTATTTTTATACCCAAAGTTCAATTTAATGGTAGTAACTTAGTACCCAAAGTTCCAATTTAATGGTAGTACTTAGCACCCAAAGTCTAATTTAATGGTGGTAACTTAATACCCAAAGTCCAATTTAATGGTGGTACCTACCTTAGTACCCAAACTCCAATTTAATGGTGGTACCTTAGTACCCAAACTCCAATTTAATGGTGGTATCTTAGTACCCAAACTCCAATTTAATGGTGGTATCTTAGTACCCAAACTCCAATTTAATGGTGGTATCTTAGTACCCAAACTCCAATTTAATGGTGGTATCTTAGTGCCCAAACTCAATTTCATGATAGTAATATGTTCCATAACACTCGCCCTTCTCTTTCGGTTTATTTGTTATACCGACTACTTCCTTTGATGTGCCATTTAGGCTTTGGGTGAATTCAATACCTATAATGCGCATTTACAATATTACTAATTACCTACTATGCAATTTACAGAAGTCTTGAAGTGTCCACGATTTTTTGTAAGACTAATTTTTATATATGCCATGAAAGCGGTAAAATAGTATTTTCATTAAAGGCGATAAATATGTAAAATGCCACTAAAATTTAGCTAACGACATTGTATTTCGGTTCGAATCGAGAGGAGTGATTAGTTACATCTACTATTTTTCCATCAAAAATCTTTTTAAATAAAAGTTGTGCTAATAGACATATGTTAAAATAAATCATTATTTTATCATATATTTTACAATTGAAAAAAAAGAAAATAAATTTTGCACACCATAAGCGTGGTCTCATATGCGAACATATAATTTATATAAATTATTAAAATGATCATAACAGGTTTAAAAACAATAAATCATAATTCATAATCCAAAGTTTTTTTTCGCGGGTACTCTAGGATTTAGTTTATAATTTGCAATTGCAATGCTAATAGTTGCACATTGCTAACTTATTTTTGTTGATATCTTTATACTAAACAGGTATTTACCTTTTTTTCTCGTCGCCACTTGTATTGTCTGCTATCTTCTCTAATCACTGTAGTGTAACACAGGCTCGGCACGCACTTAACTAAACACGTCCACTCTCGCCCGAGGCTCTCATGTAACTGACGCGGTGCGCTCGAGACAGTGACTTATATATGCAAATACTACATGCCCGAAGCCCTAAGTCTTCATTTAACACCCTTTTCACCGTGGTTCTGCTTAACCCCATCTGAAGGGCCAACAGTTTCTGCTTACGTTTCGGATTTCTTTGAATTCGCGCCTTCACAGCTTTTATCACTACTGGAGTCCTAACAGACCGAGGGCGACCACTTCTTGACCTGTCATCTACACTAGAGTCTTCATTGTATCGTTTGATGGTACGATAAACGAATCTTTTGGTTATATTCAAATTTTTCAGTATGTCAAAAATTTGAATTGGCGCGTAACCGCAGCGATGCAACGCAATAACTGCAACATGGTCTTCTTTAAGCGTCCACTCCATATTTAAAAATGAGTAAAATTCTAAAAAGTATACAGTTTTATTTTCATGAACAATTCGAAATTCGAATTCAATAAACTTTTTTGTGGCCAGCATTCTAAAAGAAAAGTTTTTACTGTGTGACAATACTTATGACCTGACTAGATATTTTATATATAATACTGTGCTTACATTTATTTAATGACTAATTAATTTCTACGGTGCGCTTAACAAAATTTTGATAAGCATTTCTATTTATTTAAGCTTGTGGTCACCCGGGGATATAAATTCGACTTTAATTCATTAATTTATGTTTGTATGTAAGCTGTATTTCACTTTCAACTATGTTGAGCAGATCCTTTTTACCTTTCACCCGTACTTCTGTTTTTCAACCGACTTCAATAAAAGGAGGAGGTTCTTAATTCGATTGTTTTTTTATGTGTGTTACTTCAGAACTTTTTTTCGAGGTGAACCGATTTTGATGATTCTTTATTTATTTGAAAGCTGGTGCTTCTCATGTGGTCCCATTCTTTGATCAAGATCTGACTAGTAGTTTTTGAGTTATCCTTAATAATGCGTATTTAATTGACTTCGGCTACATTGCTGACGTTCTCATTTTATTTATACTGAAGTCGGTTGTACAAAATTATTAATATTACCAATTGTTACCTACCTTTCACAGTACATTACCTGTACTTGTGTTTTTTACTCGGTCTAATTAATGAACCGTGTTTTTCCAGTATGGTGCTGGCGACGATGTTCCTGGGCGGGCACCTGATGTCCACGGGACAGATGTCGGCGGGCGACGTAATGGCGTTTCTAGTAAATGCTCAAACAGTGCAGCGTTCCGTCGCTCAGCTGTCGCTTCTGTTCGGTTCCGTCGTGAAGGGGCTCAGCGCTGGGGGACGAGTTTTTGAGGTAAGTTTCTATTATTTCTCTTATGGTGGTAGGGCTTCTATTCTGCCTAGTACCACCTTACCTATTTCTGCGGCATAATAGCTGTTTTCCGGTCTGGAGTTTTTTTTTCTATAGAACAAAGGCGATGAAAGGGTCCGATAAATAGGGGTTAGTCAGCCATTGACCTTCTACCCCAAGAAACTGAAATTACATCACGTTGGGTTCAACACTACACAACACTACACCATGTTGGGAACAACGAGGTGGGCGTGACCCCCGAGAAGGAGTGCCACACTAGGACGGCAGTTGCCCTTTCTTAAAAGAAAGGATAGACGGCTAAGATTACAGGTCCCTATGGAGTGGTTCCGGTCTTGACGTCGATGTAGTGGACTGTATATCTACTTAATAGGAAAGTGCGATAGGAAATAAGACATTAATTTTATCTTCGTAATTTCCCTATAAGAGTGCAACGTTGAAACTTTCGCCACTTTTCCTATTACTTTCTTTATTCTTTATTCTAGCTGGTCCCGAACGAATTTCCAAATAACCAGTTTACTATCCTAGTCGCTATACGCGAAAGAGAATCGCGCGACGCGCGCCATTTCGACATGTTTTAACATTGATTTTCATCATTACACCCTTGTATTTTACCCCATATCTTTTTTTATTTAAAACATATGGTTACTCAATTTTATTTATAAGAAACATACAAAGTCTTATCATTATTATATACATTACATCTATTAGGGATCGAACGTGGACTGTATGAAATTTACATTTTACTATTATTTATTATTATTATTATAATATATAAACATACACATTTACTTGCAAGTGGACTGTATTAATTGACTACGCTAGGGTACTGCTTAAAGAAAAGATGGTACTGTAGAACTATACTGTATTCAACTATTTACAAATGTGGCACTAATAAACTATATACAGAGGGGAGTCTTCTGGATTTCTCTTGAGGTTTCTTTTAGTGCCGCTTCCGAAATGAACAACTCACAGACCAAAACGCCCTTATATCCCGCAAGAGAGCGTCTCGGTTTGTGAGTAGCGTCGTAAGGCGATGCCGCGCGCTGATTGGTCGGCGACATCGCGTGATCTGCTGCCGGTGTGCGGGGTGCGCGAGGCGCAACGGGGTGTGAAGGGGCGACGGGGCGGCGGCCTCCTATGCTGTCCGCTACAACATCTTTATCACATAAAAACATATTAAGATATTTAACAAAATACACCTATTTTACAGAACATTTTCATAGTGGTAAATCTTAAATATCTAACACACATGGTGGAAACAACAATCTTTATTAATAAACATGAATATCTTAACTAATACAATAGTTTAATTCACAATTTAAAGACATTAATACACTTTAATTCGACTTTAATTTTCTTATATAAATATATCATTATTTGACTATTTTAAGCAGAAATTTAGGCACTTTTAACACAGCACTCTTCTTATTAATACACACAGTATTCCTGAACATTTATTACTTATTTCTTCTACACATATTACTGAAATTTGCACAAATTGATAGAGTTTATTTTTATAGCACATTATTTAGACACTGTTTAAATCCCATACAACATGAGCAACCAATCCGTACCCCTTATCGTATCAGTAGGAGGCTAGTGCTTTCTTTGTTTAAAAACAACTATCTCTGTTCATTATGAAACATTATTTGTTTACATATGCTATTCTTATCTAGCCATTATGTATCTTATCTCTTATCATAAGAATAAAGTACATATGTTTTTATCTAAAATAAGTAGCTAACTTAATACAAGATTTTTATCCGTATTGCATAGCCAATTACTATGTAACACATGACTTTAAATTAATCTATAAACAAACTTTTATGGAACTAACTCTCGACTGGGGAGTCGAACCCTGAACTTTCGTTTGACAATTATATTGAATCCATTATTCGGAATGCTAAAATACAAATTTGTTTATTTTTTATGAAATGAAAAATGACAAACTATTTTTAAACGCGTCGCCAACAATCTCCCACCTGTGCGTTAGCACCATCATTTGGGAGGCGTCGCGGGTACCAGGACTACTAATCTGGACGTAGGTCTCCTCAAGATCTGAAAAAAAAGAAAAAAATTTCAAGCGCGTCGCCAACAGGTGATAAGCGAGCACACATCCTACCTGATGGTAAGTAGATGCAGTGACCCAAAGACATCTACATCTTATCCTCGATTAAGAATGAAAATGTAGATGCGTTGTCACCCTTGAGGACTAAGACGGAATACCTCGTATCCAGTAAAAATGTCTCCGGTTCTCTAAACTCACCATACGAAACACAGCGGCATTGAGCTGCTATTTTACGCTGGTGTTCTGGTCGGGTCGACCGATTGGTGCTACAACTATAATGTAACTGCAAGTTGGCTCTACTGTTGGTATGGTAAAGAGAGTCAGTATAATCACAGAGGTGAAAATGCAGCTAGTCCTGCAGACAGCCTTCGTTGTTTGAAGTTGGCTACAGGGGTCTGTGGATTGCAGTGCCATTTACTTTCAGGTGGACTCTCAATTCCTTTGTCACTTCAGTTTTATAAAAAAATACGTCTGAATATTAAGTCATGTATTAGTCGATTCGTCATCATTATCATTATTCTATTAAAGTCTATTGCTTAATATGGACCTCCTATTGTAGAAAGGGTTTTCCGTAATCGTCACACTTGGCAGGCGGATGGACAGCTGTAGTACCAGACGTCTCGCACCTTTGATGCTACTTGTCGTCACTGGATATTTTACGCCTGGCGTTAATGATATGATTATATCGTCTTCTACAGAAAGCCATAAATTTTTTGATGATAAATCAGATTCCTGGTGAGAGCTGTTCGTTCGTATATTTCCGACTGCGATATATAATTTTGTTAATATTTTATAAATTAAAAATTTCTTGGAGGCGTTTGTATTTTAATTAATAATTTATTAACAATACAAATAGAGAAGTTGCATTAATTTTTTTTTTGCCACAAAGGAGATGAACTTGGTTCCATACAAGCTTGGGCCCGGCGTGAACAATGTTTAAATATATCTTATTTTAAAGACTTGAACATTTGCTACTTATGACATATAATCATATGTTTGTAAGAACCTGGAGTTTTGTTTTTATTTTGGTTTATTATTTGTAAGTTATGTAGTAAAATCACTCGTTCTTGGGATAAGTTGTTTCAATAAATTGAAAGAACACAAAATGATGCAGTTTTTAGTTATTATTAAATAAAATAAAATACAACTCAAACTTTTTTAATTATTTAATTATTTTTTGAAATTATTAATAAAATGTTATATCGAAAAGCAGCCTGAGGCTATACATTGTCGTTCTATTTCTCTCAAAACCCAAGTAACACGTTATTGTCATTATGTGGGCGCAACAATCTACTGTCCTGTAAATCAAGAGGAAAGCTAAGGGTCATGTTAAATTAATTCACGAAAATAAAAACACGAAATATATCCACAAACACAACCACAATGCGAAATGCGTATGACAAGTTAAAACTCGAAGTTACCAAGTCTCCTTCGAAACATGCAATGATCAACGACCATACAGCCTATTCAATTGTGTCCGACATTATTAAAATATTTTGTTTAGTTTAATAACGTAGCCTCTTCAATCGATTTTCTAAAAAGATTTCTTTTATTCAGTATTAATCTCTACAGATTCGCCTCAACGTTTCATTATTATGAGTTTTTTTGATACTGAAAAGAGCCTTCAGTATCTAATGCCATAGACAAAATACATAAATATATTTAAAAACGTTTTGTTTTTGCTATGGTAAAAGCATTAGTTTTCGTTTATCAGTTTTAAAAAATGTTTTTATAACTGTCCCATACACCACAGAAATAAAAACCATTTAACTATGCTTATAATTTATCTTTATATTACCTACATATTTTTGTATAACTGTTACGAACGATGTCAAGAACCCAATTTCATACATCTCCTTTGGAGATAAATTAGAGAATAATTCATTTTAAGTATATTTGAATATTTTTTTATTAACAATTCCATTTTTCAGTAATTATCTCCGTTTATACGTCATTATATCCGTTGACGCTGTAAGTAAGCCAATCGCAATCATGCTGTACTTTTGTATTTTCTATGTTGGGATCACCAAGTGTCATAACGAAACATAATATATAACCTGTATTACGCAATGACATTTTTTAAAATTTGACAACGTAAACATGAGTGTTTTATCATTTCACCATGCGGTGGCGTTACTAAAGCGATATATTGACGTCTCTGGCGTTTGAATTTACATTCTAGAAAAACCATTTTTAATTGTAAAATTATATGATAAATCAATTGTTAAAAGTTTTCTTAATAATTTTTAGTGAACTAAAAAAAAACATGTATTTTCTCTATTATCTTGAAGTCTCTGATAGACGGGCGAGCCATAAGCCTTAGAAGTAAAATCGCAGTTTTGCTTTTCGTCGTTCATGGTACACTGGCAAACCAAATTCAGTTATTCTTTTAAAGATTTTTGAAGCAAATTCAACGCGAAATTTCACAAATCGCGGTTTTACAAAAAACCACCCAAAAACAAGTTTTACCGCCGAACTACCAAGACCGATCAAAGTGACTATTGCAGATCGTCTAAGTGATAGCCAATGATTTATATTGGTCAGATAACATGAAACTGCGCTTAACATATCCCTCAATTAATAAAATCTGTAAAAGTTAGTTTTTTTTAATGTCTACTGTTCATTAATTAATTAATTAATTCATTATAGCCCATTAAAAGTTCACTTCTGAACATCCACCTCCCACAAGAACTACCACAAAATACGGTCCTGAGCCACCTGCATCAATCAACTTCATGTGTGTCTTATCAGGTCGTCACTCCGTATACATTGTGGTTACACTCTGTCTATCGGTATGAGGCTGCCATTGGAGAACCTTTCTTCTTAATCAGTTGTCAGTTCTTTGAGCTATATATGGTCGGCCCATTGCCACTTCAATTTACTGATTGGTGGAGCTGTATTGGTTCAACTTCGGTTTTCTTCTAACATGCAGGGAAATGGTCGCTTAACGAATTTAAGCTTTGTCAAATGGTATCCTGACAGTGTAGTGGCGGATAAGAATATCCACTATCTTATATCGTCCCAGGAAACAAAAAAAAAACTACGGTTGCCATAGTTGCCGCGGCAACTATGACAAATATTCCCCCTATGAGGCAATCTATGGGAAGGCCTAAGTTCAGCAATGAAGGTACAAATCTCAGTGTGATCAATATGATTATTTACTAAATTATAGCCAATTATTTGTTTCAGTATATCAATAAGGAACCTCAAATGGACACGTCGGGTAAGAAGGTTATAAAATACCACGAGTTCCACGGCGACATCGAGTTCAGGGACGTCACCTTTGCTTACCCAACCCGGCCGGAAGCTGTGAGTAATTTTTAAATACTCTTGTGCTGTGAGTAATTGACGGCGCTGAGGGCCGCTGGTTCGAATCCCGTACGAATATAGTATTTGTAGTATTTGGATCCAGAGGCAACGATGCATCAGACGAACTGGCCAGAAGAGGATCGTCTCTGGCCACTATAGGACCGGAACCAAACATACCAATCCCCTTTGGTAACGTTCGTTCACTGGTATGTAGAAACTTTACTGACCAACACGCTCAGCTTTGGAAAAATCTAATAGACTGTAGACAAGCTAAGGAGTCTCTGACTGAAACAGTCGTTTAACCAAGTCTAATGAGACTGAACAGGCCCCAGATCAGGATAGTAACAAGTGCTATCACAGGACATGGCTCCTTTAACAAACATTTATTTACCATAGGTGTTACAGATAGTCCTCTATGCAGGGCATCTGTGGGGGACGAAGAAACGGCGGCCCACGTGTTGCTGAGATGTCCGGAGGTCGCCGCATACAGGGCTAAACATCTTGGCACGCCGAGATCACTCCCCGAAGTTGCTAATAACATCAAAGGACTGTTGAACTTCTTCGGGAAGATTTCATGGCTCGAATAATCACATTATTCTTGCCGACACGCAAACTAGGCGCTTAGACGTGGAGTTGCGGAAAACTGACCGTCGTAAACTAAACTAAACTAGTATTTGTATGGTCCGCAAATAATCGTTCTAGGCCTGGATGTTTGTCCATGTGCAATTTATGTATGTAAACTACGTTCTCGATACAGGAGAAATCCTAGTGTGGTGACATCTATCGTCGTCTAGTGGTGACGTATATGATTAAAAGCTGCCTCCTTTTTCATCAGACTAAAGAAGTCCACTGCTGAAAACGAACCTATGCTATTGCAAGGTCGATTTTCCTTAATCGTCATGCTTGGCAGGCAGATTGGCGGATTTCCCGTCCTTACTCTAGGTATTTTACGTATGGCGTAAACAAGATGTTATACTGCCACCTATCGAAAATCGTAAGAATTTTTTCTGCCAGTTAGCATAGTTGTTACTTTACGACACCTACGGGACGAAACGGAATGCTGGATTCTACATTATATGCCGTGAGATGGCGCTGTAAAAGAGTTCAAGGTTTTGAAGCAAATAAAATATATTTTTTCGTCACCAAACTTGGCTGAGTTGTGACAAATGACCTGATGGTCAGTAAAAGCTATGGCATTGGGCATTTACATCTATACTCGATTAAGAATCAAAGTTGCGGAGATGACATGCTTAAGTAGCTTACCGGGATGATGTCGACGGTGACATGAGGATGTGTCTCCTATAGTTGTTAGTTTTAATAACCTGATCCTGTATCGCACAGACAAAACCCTCGGTTTCCTCGAAAAAGTCTTCAAAACTTAGCCAGTGTAGGGCGGCAACTTTGCCTGCGGAAAGTCATGTAGAGCCTCGTAGAGCCTTCCGTGTACCTTCCTCTCCTTCCATATCGGTCTGAGAAGTTCTGATAGTGGAGTTAACCCGTTATCACACATAATGACATACTTTTAGAATGACTCATTCGCTTGAAAAGCTACGCCTACCACAAATCCGCGATAAGTATGGCCTCATTACCGACGATCTTGGATGATGCATTTTGAGGGACCTCATAATTGTGCAAACTTTTCTATACAGTGAGTTAAATTCGGTCTTAGTACACCTGAGCATGCCAAAGGTATAAAGAGAATAATTATGACCCAACCATTATAGGTGCTTGCCTTATTCTTAAATTAAAAACGTTATTATTATTATTATTTTGTATAGTCCTTTTTTAACTGCAAATATGTTATTGTAATTACCCTTATATTACTCAACTTCTTTTAGATCGTATTGAAGAATTTCAATCTGAAAATACCAGCCGGTAAGACAGTTGCCATTGTTGGGACGTCAGGCAATGGAAAATCAACCATAGCGGCCTTGTTAGAAAGGTGTGTAGATATAACAGTAAGATTATATTTTAGCACTAATATGATACTGTATTTGTGTAGAGGTATGCAATGTTATAATAATAATACCCCATATCGTCTCGTGGGTGTCGTTAAAGACGAAAGAGGGAAATGAAACAGGAGATTGGCGACAGCATCTTCCTGATAATAACCCAAAATAATTTAAAAAAAAAACTGTGGTTGACTTTTCATAGGCTGTAACGGTAACGGCGTCGATTGTGTGTGTGTGTGTGTGTGTGTGTGTGTGTGTGTGTGTGTGATTAAGATGATTCTGAATGGTTTAGATTCACAATCGGACCCGGTAGGTGGCTCGGTTGTCGAAATCCAGAAATTACCTGTGTGAAGCCTGGGCGAATCGCTAGTACATTATATAAGTTTTATCTGCATTTTAAGCTTACCTGTAGGGCTAGCATGGGCAGGAGACAATTTTATCCCCGGGGAAAGGAGGAAATGTTTATCCTCTCGCTTATCCACCGGTGTGCCCATGCTCGAAGGGTGGGTATAATATCCTCAGTAGATAAAATGGGAGATAGACTTAGTTAGGTTTATTGTATGAATATAAACTTAAACCCACGTCCAATGGACTAGGATAGAATTGTCCCTTTGAAATGTCAAAAAAGCATAATTTTTATCTTTCATTTGGCTTCATGCTACGGACGGGGGATATATGTCTACTCGTAATGTCAAACGGGGATATACTTCTCCCCGTTGCCGTGTTTTGGCATAGGGACAAGATAATTTTATCTCTTGTCAGTGGGTATAATCGGGGGATAATATTTTGTCCCCAGCCCATGCTAGCCGTGCTGGAGTGATTAACGGATATTAGTAATACTGATTATTACTTACTTACTAGTAAGTCAAAGTTGTGATTATTTTCTCACCCTTCCAGGTTCTACGACGTGAATGATGGTGTTGTGACAATAGACGGAGTGGACATCAGGGAGTTGGACTGCAAGTGGCTAAGGGGCAGAGCCCTGGGGCTGATTAGTCAAGAGCCGGTGCTCTTCGCTACGACCGTTAAGGAGAACATAAGATATGGGAAACCTGAAGCTACTGACGCCGAGGTTATTTTTAATAACATAACAGTGTCAAATAAATCAACGGTTTAGCCCGGTATTATAACTGTGGTCTATAGTACAGCATTTATATTATTAATAGAACCCTATTATCAAATAAATTATCAAATAGTTAAAAAAATTATTAAGTAAAAATTGTTTAATAAGGATTTCTTATATTTACGCGAACACTACTAGGGATTCTATCGCGTTTGACTTTTTAATTCCCGACGTTTCGGGTGCTTTAAAGCACCCATGGTCACGGGGGGGGGGGGGGGGGGTACTGAGGTGCTTTTAATTTCAATAGCCTCGCGAATCATCCTTGGTAGTCTTTTGTGATTATTTATGGTCTACCAAATCTAATGTAATGGCGGGGACAATTAGGCATGTCGATTTACTTTTAAAAAAATCGATCTCTGAATCGATTCGAATCGAACATACTAGAATCGATTATCGATTAAATCGAACATTGAAAGATCGATTTTCGATTAATCGCGACATTTTCAAACATTAAGTTTCCAGAACTTGCGAGTTTTTTCTTAAATAGAACTTTTATAATTACATTTTACGTTTTATAATTATGCATTTGTTGCAGTTCATTGTATCTACAGTATATAAATTGTAAGGCGCTAATAAAATATGTAAATAATGATTTGAGGAGCCAAAATAAACTTCCGTTGGGTTTGGATAAAACAATTATATTATGATCACCAATATTTAAAAAGGGGTTCTTCTGTTTTGGAGCTAAAAGATTCTAACACTATAAGATAACCACCACGTGTTCTTCACTGGCTTAGGTATAAACAAATAGGCTGAATCCGTTACGTGAAAAATAGCTCTTCATGTTGTGTCAATGTGTTGGTCTTCTACATCAGTATTTTACTAGATGGTAGGATTCCTTTCTGCTTATTAGTCCGGTACAATCCTCTTACCAATTTCATAAATATTTATTTTATGCGTCCAAATTATGAACCAAGTACGACCGATTGTTTTTGCGTCCGCCAACAAAAAATTAAAAAACTAAGATACCGCAGCCAGTTTAGGAACTTTATCGCTAATTCTTGAATGAGATGAATCGGTCTGATTCGAGGGGTTTTTGGATCGATTCATCGAATCGATGTGGTATTCCAAATCGATCTGAAAAATCGATTATGTTACTCTAGAAAATCGATTTTTCGATTAATCCATTTTTGATCGACATGCCTACAATCTTGAACTTGATCACAGACTGCATTCGTCTCCGCCATTACATTAGATTTGTTAGACCATAAATCCTCGCAAAAGAACACACTCCAGGTAAACTTAAAATGCTGATAAAACTTAAATAATATATTAATTATATAACACCTCAGTCCCCCCGTGACCATGGGTGCTGTAAAGCACCCAAAACGTCGGTAATTAAAAACTTAAATTAAACGCGGTAGAATCCGTAAAAATTAGTTTCATTTAATTGTTTGATAAGGTTTATTATTATACTGCTAAAGAGTAAATGATGGATTCTTAGCAGTTAGTCACTGCAGAGTCTACTTTACCCGAGTATACCTCGTTAAGAGGTGGAACACTTGTCGCATTATCAACGGTGGTGTAACCTCGGAGATTGAGGTCATCGCGACTTGTTTATAAATGTTTTTATACTTAATCGTATAAACTATTATGTTGTAAATAATGTTTAAAAAAAGTCCCGCTTGGTTTTTTTTGCTAGTTCTTCCCAGGACAGAGGTTTCTTTTCCAAACCAGTGGTAAAGGTTACATGACTTTCAATAAGTAATCTTCTGTATAGTTTATTTTTTAAATAATAAAATGACAGAGGTTTGCAGTTGTGGGTGCATCACGGAAAAGCTACTGGATAGATTTCAATTAGATTATCAAAATTTTATTTCTTAGACACTTGGACCTTATCTAAAAAAAAATTATTGCGACAGACAAAGTTTCAAGAAACAACGATTTTTATAAGCACTACGTGTTCAGTGCCGTGTGTTTTCTTTGTTAATATATCAAACAACGCGAACGAAGTCGCGGGTCTCAGTTAGTATTGAATAAAAATGATTCTATTCTATACTAATAATGAAGTTAAATTAGTCGCCGTGTATTGGCGGCATAAAGGATTCCACTACCCCATACCATTCTGTGGGTATCACAAAGGCTACAGAGGGGACCTGAAACGGTAGATAGGCAGCTGAATCTTCCTGATATCTACTCAATATATTAAATGACGGTTGCCAGCCCGCCTGCCAAATGTGGTAACTATTGCAAATCTAATTCATATATTTAGCAGTGGATTTTTGATAGACAGTATTGATTTAATGATTGAAAGGAAAAAGATTCAAAATTATTAATTTTTTTCAGATATATGAAGCAGCGAAAACAGCGAACGCACATGATTTTATCACCGGTTTTCCTAACGGTTACGAAACTTTGGTGGGTGAGAGAGGGATGTCCCTATCCGGTGGACAGAAACAGAGGATCGCTATCGCCAGGGCCGTCCTGAAAAACCCGCCTGTAATGATCTTGGATGAGGCTACGAGGTATGATTTTTTTTTACAGGATAAGGGTGGGTGTCAAATGAGCACATAGTCCACCTGATGGTAAGTAGTTGCTGTGGCCCATAGTCATGTACATTTTATCCTCAACAAAATGCAGATGCGTTATTACCCGTGAGGACTAAGACAGAATGCCTCGTTTCCAGTAAAAGGGGTCTCTGGTTCTCTACTCTCACCATACGAAACAGCAGTGTTAAGCTGCTATTTTACACTGGTATTCTGTGAGAGCGTAGTCCTTCCCTGGTTGAGAATATCCATTCGCGCTACAACAATTTTTTTTATAGGATAGGGTGACAAACGAGCACACAGTTCACCTGATGGTAAGTGTTTGCTGTGGGCCATAGACATCTACATCTATCCTCAATAAATAATCAGAATGCAGATGCGATGTCACCCGTGAGGACTAAGATGGAATGCCTCTTCTCCAGTAAAAGGGGTCTCCGGTTCTCTACACTCAGCATACGAAACAGCAGTGTTAAGCTGCTATTTTACGCTAGTATTCTGTAAGAGCGTGGTCCCTCCCGGTCGAGCCGACCCACCCGTGTTACAACTATACTACTTATATAGCTGCAGCATGGTTCTACCACGTAGATACATTTCAAATGTACATTATGATGATTTAGTATCTCAAACTGTCTACTTAAATGTCAGAATACATTGGCAAGGTTCGGTGCCTGCGAGAGCTGGTTTCGAATTCCAGCCAGAGCCTACATTTGTGTAATTAATAGTTGGTTTTCAAGTTTAGCCGTGCCGTGTTAGCTCAGTGGCTAAGCGCTTTTAAGTGCTGATTTACCACGTGCCCGGCGGCGCAGGAAATCATCGTGAGGAAACCTACATGTCTGAGAAATAAGAAAAAATATATTACGAAGACATGTGAAGTTCGCCAACACGCATTGGGGCAGCACGGCGGACACGTCCTTGCCCTGAAACCCTCTCAGTAAAGAGAGAAGGCCTGCTGCTAAGCGAGGCTTTTTAACTTTAACTTTTTTTCACGTTTGGTTGTTTGGGGTTTTCTTTATCGTGTAGTGTCGGAGTGACAATATTCACTTCCTTATAATGTCCCGTGGGTGTCGTAAAAGACGAAAGAGGAAAACTGAAACCGGAGATTAGCTCAAAATTACCTGTCTACATATATCTGTCTCACTTACACAAGTCGCGAAAACAATACCGTCGCTAAGATTAGATAAAGATAGACACACAAACATGCAATGGCAGGTTGGTATTGCATACTATATGAAATTTTTACCCAAAACAAGAAATAAAAAGGAGTTTTTATGCTGCAGTTATTTGTTTTTATTTTAAATATGTATCTTTTCTTATCATAACTAATGAAATGAAAGATATTTTTTCTAAGTATTTTTTATTGTACTAATAAATCAAACAAAAAAATAAATGAGGTAAAAAAAAATCAATTTTTGGGTTCTTAATCAAGAAGATCTGAGTTTGAAATATGCATGAATTCTGAAAGCATCGGCAAGTCTTTGTCTCCTTAATTTGGTCTCATGACATTAGCTACAAAAACTGTGGTTATTAATAAATTTAGTCGATATTTTTGTTTATAGAATTTCTATACCATTTAACAACTTTAAAAAGTTTTTATATTTTTTTGCAACAATACTGAAGATAGTTAATTGATTTAGGCTTGATTTTGCGTAAGTTCATTTTTAAGATGGTATTAATCTGTAGTACTAATCCGCTTAAATAAACACGGTCGCAATCGCTTTTTAGTCTTAGTTTGTCTTGATCCCGGAAGTGCTTAGGACAAATGAGAGTAAATTTCGAAGGCACTCAGTGAGTCTCTTTTCTCAGCAATCGTATTATTGCCACCCACTTCTTACGGTGTGCTGCATCTTTAGATACCCTGCAAAATTATTAATATAAAATAGGTAATGAAATATAATTAATAGATCATCCATGAATATTCTAAAATAAGAATAATTAATTCCTTTGTATAAAGGTTGAAACATAGTTTTTTTTTATTATAATTTCCAAAATATTTAAAATCAGGGGTAACAAGTTAACTTATTCCATAAATTACACAGTCGTAGTAGTGTAATGTGGGAAAATTGCAAATGCAGAAAAGTGGCAACATTGAACCTAAATTGCAATATTCGATATTTTATTTCATGTTTTCTTGTGTTTTTTAAGTTACTATGAAAACATTAACTAAAACTTACGTGTGAAAAGTAATTCCGCTTGATTAATTATGTTTTTGTGACTTTGAATCGCATTCTTTCACTACGCATCTACCCATTTTTTATCGTGGATCGTTCGGCTCAACTCGGTCGGCGTCACATTGAACCGACGTTAGCTGGGCATATGTCTGTGGCCATAATATGTGCAGTGGCAACACTTTGGCGCGGTAATTACTAATCTAGTGTAATATATAAATGAATGGTTGCAGTCAACAACAATAATTAAAAAATAATTGTATCGTCTATAGCAGTATAGTATAGTTTCCGTTTCCGTCGCCCTTCACTTCAACTTTCATCTATTCCCAACAATTGTACATACTTAATGTAACAACGTGTTCCAATAAAAAAAAAAGTTACAAGAGCTCTACCTTTTATTAGGCTCTAACAAAATTATATGTGTTTTCTTTTTCTTTTATCATAGCAATGTGTAATAACGAATTATGCCAATATCAAGTCTTTCTTTCTTTCTTTGGTAATGACTCTAACTCGTATGATTGTACGTTTGCGAGTATCAAGTAATAAAAAAATCCTTTATAGTTCACACTTCTTCACATTATGTTGATGCGTCACATCATCACTGAAGATTTTGGGAGATTTTGACGGCAGTTTGAGCCAGCAGACAGTTGATAGCGATAGTATCTCAAGAAGCCTCAGCAGACACATCTGAGGTTCACATCACCATCGGAGCACTTGTTTCATCGTTTCCGTTAATAGTTCACATGCGCAGACATTTAACACATAAAATCGCACCAATTTTGTATATCAAAATCTACTTCAAACCATTATTTAAGCAATAATACAAGAGCAGCAGTCCGTCGTCGATCAAGTCACTGCCAAAACTCTCCAATAGTCTATAAGTTTTAAAGCGGTTATCCCTTGAGCCACAGTGTAATGCCTAAATAACGATTTTAATTTATCTAATTCAATCAACAGCGCTCTAGACTCAGCCAGCGAGAAAGTCGTGCAGACTGCATTGGAAAGCGTAACCAAAGGCCGCACAGTGCTGGTGATTGCGCACAGGCTGTCCACTGTTATGCATGCTGATATCATTGTCGTGCTGAACAAGGGTAAAATCGTCGAGGTGAGTTTATTATACAAAATTACGTGGGAAAGGGGGGGGGGGGAGGTTCAAAAATTTTGTCTCGATGCATGTCCGTATGTCACCGACGTGTTTTCAAAGATTCGTGTATATGATTGTAATTCAAATATACACGTGAGGTTTGATTTCAATTGAAGTAAATTCAAAATTTTCATTTTATAACTTTAGGCTTAAAATGAGAAGTTGAGAAATAAGTATATATTTCGGAATATTGTTTCAGAAACATCATTTTTAAATAATTAATATTTTTTTTTTGCAAAACCATTCGAATTGCGGTTTACCATGTATTATTTTTAAATGGTTTTCGAAAGAAACGTTTGGAAATTGCTTATCTTCAATAGAGTCGTGCAGAAATAATTAAAAAAAAAATATATTTCTACTTATAAATATGGTAATAATGAGAAATTGTTGTTTTTGACGCAAGAATCTCCGACTTTAAGGTGGAAGCACAAGGGTAGCCCGCGAAATTCAAATTTTCTTACGTTTTTTGCAATATGCAGGTCAGTGTCAGTCAGGTTGTATGTTTAACACAATATAATTCGCGACCGTAACGAGTATATATTTACAAAATTATAATCATTATAATCATCAATACAACCGCCTATGTTCGTAATAATAATAATAATGCTTTTATTTCTTTAAAATTGCAAATAAACAATATAGTAGATGGGTCCTCCTAGTAAGTTTAAAAGAAAACCTGTGTCAGGAGTTCCCGCTCTTCCTTATCTATGACAGTCTTAACTAACTAAAATCATTTATATACACAAATTAAACCAGAAGTCGCCTGTATCAATTACATTTTTAAGATTAGCGGCGATTTAAATAAGGTAATCAATGTATTTAAATGTAAGCGCAAATGTGCTATGAATGCATATGTGTTATGAATGGTGTGTGTGTGTGTGTGTGTGTGTGTGTGTGTGTGTGTGTGTGTGTGTTGGTTAATTAATTTAACAATTTACGAAGTACGGCGTAAGAGTGCCTCAAGGTCGTCGTTATTCTGTGTTTTTAACCAGGCGATTACAGATTTTTTGAAATCGCGGTGAGTTGAGAATGTCAAATAAACCGTTAATGCTGTTGTAAAGGTAAACAGAATTCGCAGTATATTGACATTTGGCAAACACTGTTTTAGTGCGAATAGTTTTTGTTACATCTTTTTTCTTCTTCTTTTTTCTACGGTATGGTTTTACGAATTTTTAGAGTAGTTAGTAAAATATATGACTGTCTCACGGTTAGCACACCGCAAAACTTATATAATGCCATAGTGGGGTACCGACGTGGTTTGAGGTACATGACTTTAAGAAGGCAGCGTTGACCACGTTCAATCTCTAGGAATTTAGTTTTAGTTGCCCATTCCATACAGGAATGCAATATCCTAAGACAGATTGTACTAAAGATATGTATATTTGTTTTATTAATTTATGAGATGTAATATGCCTCAGAGTTTTAAAAATCCAAATAAGTTTACGTACTTTTTCGTTCGTATATTCAATATGTGGATGCCAGGATAGTGTATCGTCAAGTATTACTCCTAGGTATTTAGTGGATGTGACCTTCTGCAGCATTTTACAATTACAACTTGAGTAGTCTAGTTTATCGCATTCATGCATTTTTACTGTAAGATCGTTTTTCGGTTAAGTTCTATTTTTATTGAGAAGTACATATAGTTGGTTTTATTAATATTTAAAGTTAGAAGGTTAATTTTTAGCCAGTCAGAAATTTTAGAGAGACCACTTTGGGCCGTATCATATATCGTCTTCCACGAAGTCCCAGAAAAAAATATCGCAGTGTCGTCGGCGTAAGAGAAAATTTTACCACTTTCGATGCTTAGATTAGTGAGGTCATTTATGTAGATGAGAAATAGAGTTGGGGCAAGTACACTCCCTGGGGCACACCAAAGGTTATGTCCATGTCTCTACTCACGTGATTTTCAATTTTCACTCTTTGAGTGCGCTCTTGTAGGTAATTGCTTAGTAATTTAAGTGGTACACCTCGAACACCGATGAACTCCAGTTTATGCACAAGGATGGGAAGGGAGACGGTATCAAAAGCCTTTTTCAGGTCAAGAAAAACAGTTAGGCCTTTATTTACTCGGTCGACTTGATCTGTAATAAGGGACGTGAGAGACAATACCGCGTCCTCCGTAGATAATCCAGACCTAAAACCAAACTGTGAGCTAGAGATAAGGCTGAATTTTTCTAGAGAATTAAGTAGTCGAGTATTAATCAGTTTCTCAATGACTTTTGATATCGCGGGTAAGACTGAAATTGGGCGATAATTATTTACGTCACCTCTATCCCCCCCCCTTATGAACTGGAGTAACAATAGGTCTTTTTAGGAGCGCAGGGAATACACCTAATTTGAAGCATTGGTTTGCAAGATGACTAATTATGGGCGCAAGAACAGAGCTACAGATCTTAAGAAATTTGGTCGATATATTGTCCCAACCAGGGGCACTATCTGTTTTGAGACCCATGATAACACTTTTAACTTCCTCGGGGTCAGTCTCCAAGAGGACAAAAGATGTCTTATGTTGTTTTAGCGTGCTAATGGTAGTGCTGCTTTGTGAGACATGAGATATACTTTTCAGAACATCATTAGCAAATTTATTGCCAATATTAGCAAAATAACAATTTACTGAATTGAAAGTTACAATTTACTGCATTGAAAGTTACAATTTACTGCCCTGAATGAGGTTGATGTTGATGTCTCCAGAGATGACTATGTTATGATAAGATTTTATGCTTGCTAGGTATGCATTCAAGGACTCAATGAAATCAGATGCATTTAAGTTCAAAGGTGAACGATAAATGCCCAATATCGTCATATCAAGAATCCTTAGTTGTATGCAAGAGGCATGTTTGAGTTTAATTTCTTTAAATTCAGGATTTAGGCGAGATTTAGAATAAATCACTACACCATCATTTGGTTAAGGTTATATGTTGTTTCTTCTCTGCATGATAAACTTAGAAATGAGGATATACGCAGTGGAACTAGAGTAACCGACATAGCCCAACGGATTAGTAAGCTGAAGTGCCAGTGGGCCGGCCGTATAGCTCGAAGAAGCGACAACTGATGGGGAAGAAAGGTTCTTGAGTGGCAGCCTCGTACCGGTAGGCGAAGTGTAGGGCGACCCCCCACGAGATGGAGTGACGACCTGGTAAGGCATGCAGGAAGTCGATGGATGCAGGTGGCTCAGGACCGTGCTTTGTGGCATTCCTTGGGGAGGAGGCCTATGTTCAGCAGTGGACTTATGAAAGGCTGTAATGATGATGATGATGATATGTTGTTTCAAGAGCAGCAATTTTTTTTATAGGATAAGGGTGACAAACGAGCACACAGTCCACCTGATGGTAAGTGGTTGCTGTGGCCCATAGACATCTACATCTATCTTCGATTATGAATCTAAATGCAGATGCGTTGTCACCCGTGAGGACTAAGATGGAATGCCTCGTTTCCAGTAAAAAGGGTCTCCGGTTCTCTACACTCACCAAACGAAACACGGCAGCATTAAGCTGCTATTTTACGCTGGTATTCTGTGAGAGCGTGGTCCCACCCCGGTCGAGCCGACTCATTCGTGCTACAACCATAATATAGCTGCAGCATGGCTCTACCACGTACAATTTGTCCATATACGGAGTTACTTGAGGTATAGACGTAGTTGCGGATAGTTTTTTAGACGGTGGACTGCGTTTAAGAGGCATTTTATTAAGTCTGTATATAACTTGGTAAGATGATGTTTTAACAGTTTTATCACACCTGTCGTTTATTATTGTACTAGGACATAAGAAAATAACTGAAAGTTAATAGAACTCCAAGAAAATAGTTTTGGAATGTGGCTGTTGTGTTTGCTCTGTGCACAATACCAGGGAAGCTTAACCCAAAGGCGATATCATATATCATATATATTAGATTCTAAAGGTGGCAGGCGCCTTAAGTATATGCTACACTTTCCTCCAGCTATCAGATGTACCAGGGTCTCATAAGTCCAATGGCTGTTTTGTGAAGAAACAATAGTTTGGCAGTACTCGCACTAAGACTGTGTTAAAACGAGTGAGGAACAAAGATGAAAAACCGTACCTTCCAATTTTGTACTTGTGAGAGGATCTTACGCGTGTTGATTCTCTGTATACCAGGGGCGCACGCGTAGAATTTGTTGTGTATGTACGTTTCTTACTTTTATGCACTCCTATTTATTACTTGAGTATTATTGTATTTGATTTTAAATTAAAAGATTTATATTAATCATGTAAGGGCTTACAGACGACTAGTCATAGACGAGGTCCGAGGGGAAGAGGTTCGTATAATTCCAATGTATGGCTATTTTCAGAAAAACTCATTCAAAGGAATTATATGAACTTAGAGGGTTGTATTGGTGATTTTAATGATAATAATTCTATAAACACATACTCGTTACGGTCGCGAATCATATTTTATTAAACATTCAACCTGACCCTGACCTGCAAATTCCAAAAAATGCAAGAAAATTTGAATTTCGCGGGCCACCCTGGAGCTTTCACCTTAAATGCTTTCCGAAGCACGGGAGTGAAACACACGCAACATCCTTTTCTCCGGGCTGTTACGGACAATTTCGTGACATAAAAACTCAATAGCTGATTTTGGTCCGACCCCGGATTCGAGCCCGGGACCTCAATATCAGTAGTCGCGTTTACAATCACTAGACCAACGAGGCCATCAACCACGATATTGTCTATTATTAAGGACATTTAAATCATAAAAAAATAAACTTTACAGATGGGAACTCATGAACAACTGAAGAAACAGAAGGGCTTCTACTGGAATCTTATAAAACAACAAGATCAAGACCCTGACACCACTAGAACTTTATGAGGATTATAATCCTTACTTAAGATATATGACAATTATATGTTTAGTAGAATTTTAAAAATAGGGACACAATCAAACAATTTAGAACATTGAAATATTGTATCTTAGAATAATCCACCCCAGTGTGTGATAATTACTTATAATTAATTTATTTACTAATATAAATATAATTTATTTTGTATTTATTTGTTGGAGGTGATTTAAAATGTTTGTTGGGTCAAATATATACATACGTAAACACTAATGCCTGTCACCCAGAGGGGTAGGCAGAGACTATGGACTTCCATTGCGCACGATCCTGACACACCTCTCTCGTCTTCTCCACATCCATATATCTACGCATACATGCTCGTCAGTTAAGGGTACTTTTATTTTGGCCGATTTTATACGTAAATATATCGCCAATTTGATCGATAAACTTTCGCTTAGGGTGTCCCTTCCCGCCTCTGCCGTTCACCACTGCAACATAAATTTGCTTTGTCACTCTTTTCTCATTCATTCTTTCTACACGACCAAACCACCGAAGCATTCCTTTCTTAATCCTGGTCACAACATCATCTTACAAACCACACTCTTCTCTTATCACACGATTTCTCACTCTGTCATTCAGGTTCCATTTGAACCAAATCAAGAGGTCAAATGTAGATAGGAAATTCCGAAATTAATTATTACATGCAGTGTTAGCTCAGGGGCAGGGCTTATTACGCTAGCGAGAGCGCGAGATTATAAAAGTTAGGGTGGTCAACAAGCATGCAGCCAGTGCGGCTCATACACATCTACATCTCGCCTCTATTGAGAATCAAAATGCAGATGCATTTTCATGCCTGAGGACTAAGGTGGAATGCCTCTTTAATTACTAGTAAAAAAAAAACTTCGGTTCTTGTCACCCACCATACAAAAACACAGCAGCATTATGTTGCTATTTTACGGTTGGTTTTGTGTGCAAGCATGGTCTTTCTCCCAGTCCTATTTTTTTTTCACGAGGAAATGCCTACTAATCGTCTTTCGGGTAAGGGTGGGTTTTCAATATATCGCCAAATTATGTTGAGCTCCGGCTTAAACCCCACGGAGTTGCACATTTGACAGACAGACAGATAGACAGGGCCATGGCAACGTTTTCGCACACATTCTCGGGGAATATTTTTAGAGTTTCCAGGCGAACCGCGTCGACACTATAGTGTTCCCTGCGAGATCCTGAAACCCTGTTGTTGATTCTTTAGCTGATTAATTTAGTAGATTTTGAAATAAATGTAGATTGTGTCTGATTACAACTATATTCAGGTTTACAAAATATAATAACGGATGGAAACAGAACACGACGTAATACCGTAAAAAATTGTGGGTAGGAAAACAAAACTATATAATAAAATGGGATGTTCTTGTACTTAGGTAGTCTCTTTTATATAATAGATGGCGCCGTGACACCTGTTCAGAGAGCAATATTTTTTGACATGACAACGTCTTATAATTCGATGAAGCTGGCTGCACGCACGAAAAAACATGACTCATGCGGCGTTACCTCGTTCTGAGGCGTTCCATTTAAAGTGCAAGCGAGAGCGCGGAACGAACGACAAAGAGGCACAATCGGCCTCCGCGTTCGGCATGTCCGCATGGACAGCTGCTATACAATAATACATTTACATGTATTCTTATATATATATATATACTTCATATTTACATTTCGTCAAGTATGAAGTGCAGTGAAAAGTGAATGTGGTTTCAAAAATTCTTTCGATATTAAATATTTCTTATGAAATGAATATTATAGTAACAATGTCCTCAAGACCGAATTTCGGTCGCAACCGCCGGACTCAAAGGAGATTTTTACGTGGTAGAGCCACGCTGCAGCTATATTACTGGTATAATTGTAGCACCACGCTATCACAGAATACCAGCGTAAAATAGCAGCTTAACGCTGCTGTGTTTAATTTGGTGCGTGTATAGAACCGGATACTCTTTTTACTCGAAACGAGTTTACTAGTAAAGAGGCATTCCATCTTAGCCCTCACGGGTGACAATGCATCTGCATTTTGATTCACGTTCAACTATCGTCAGTAAACCGACTTTACGGACAACCGATTTTTTTAATCTACCACGACACTTATTAAATGATTATCCATAATGGATAGAACTCGAAAAGAAAAGAATTTTCTTAAATTTAATTTTTCTTTATACTCGTGTGTGTGGGTACTTGTGTGATTATAGGGCAGTTGGGTAGTTGATATAGATTTTAAATACAAATAGTATGAAAACACCAGTAAATGATGTAATAGATCACTGGTAGCCTCGTGTAGTCGGGTAAATGGAAATGGAAACCTATTAGGTTTTAAGACACTTCTTAAAATAGCAAATTTATAATTTGAATATTTGTTATGAAGACATAAGAAAAATTATAATAAACATTATGCAGATATCATCGTTTATTTATAAAGTTTTACATTATTTATGTAATTTATTTATTGAAAACTACTACATACGAGTACTTTATGATACGAACCTTTGCACATTTTGACCGCCCTTTGTATTTCCCGCAATAGTTGTTTATTTATTTATTTTGTTATTTTTATTTTTTTTCTTGGTGTACAATAGAGAATATTGTATTCCACATGCGTGTTGCTAAGGTTTGTAATCTGTGATGAAATGAAAGATATTATCTCTGTAGACCAAATAATGACATTGTTAAATCAATACAAATATTTATGACGTAGGCAATGTTAAGAATAATAAAGATATTTTTTAATTTAATATATGTTTTATTTTTGTGTCACATAATTTTATTTTACAAAAAGCTGGTACCCGGCGCGTTGCAAGAAATAATCGTGGAAATATCGTTTTAAATTTGGAACAATTATATTGTTTAATTAGGAATGATGATAATATTTTTTTATAGGTCAGGGTGACAAACGAGCACACAGTCCATCTGATGGTAAGTGGTTGCTGTGAACCATAGATATCTACTTTTATCCTCAATAAAGAATCAAAATGCAGATGCGTCGTCACCCGTGAGGACTAAGATGGAATGCCTCTTTCCAGTAAAATGGGTCTCCGGTTCTCTACACTCACCATACGAAACACAGCAGTGTCAAGCTGCCATTTTACGCTGGTATTCTGTGAGAGCGTGGTTCTTCCCCGGTCGAGCCGACCCATTCGTGCTACAACTATACTACTAATATAGCTGCACCATGGCTCTACCACGTTGATTGTACTATGCCTATAAGCGTAAGTGCAAACAATAAGTTCACAAAATTTTACCGCAATTTGATGAACGATACAAAAATACGAACAAACAAAATTTTTTTTTTATATATTAGATTAGCGTTGTTAGTCCCATGCATGTCGAAAGCGATGAATCAACGAAACCTCAAAAAGTAGACTTTTATATAGGATAGGAGGGACAAGCGAGTACACAGTCCAACTGATGCTCGTTCTTATTCCCATAATATTATCTTTGATGAGGTGGTGCAGCAGTGGCTGTCGCTATCCATTAACAAAGTTAAGCTTTTAATTGGAACGGCAAATCGACCACAATGGGTAAAAGTCGAAAAGTTCTTTGATTCTCTTACAGACACTTTAACTTCATATTCAGATTTTGATAATATAATTTTGTTAGGAGATTTCAATATAAATATTTTGGATGAAAGTGACAACACAACACAACAGATTAATCAATTTTTGCAGTATACTAGGTTGAAAAACTGTATTTTTCAACCTACCCATTTTACGCAAGAGAGTGCTACATTAATTGATTTAGTAATGACAGACGCCGTTGTGACATATACTCGTGTAAAATATACCCCTGAACTTGGTGGTCATGCTATCATTTTAGTCGATTTTAAAATTAAAAAGCCTAAGGTAGCTCTAAGGCAGCAAATTATAAGACCGATAAAAAATATCAATCTGTCAGATTTTGAGTCGGAAGTTGAATCCATAAACTGGGATAGCATTACGAGGTACAATTGTGTGAATGACATGGTTTCTGTTTTTTCCAAACGCATTTTAGAGCTGTTTGATAAACATGCTCCAGAGAAACTAATAACTATCCGTAAGATACAACTGCCATGGTTCACGAGTAATGTTACGTACATTATGCAGCTCCGAGATGACGCTCACAATAAATATCGTCGCACAAAAACTATAAACGATAAAATTCCATACAAAATCCTAAAACGTCTGGTAAACAGCAGTCTCTATGCTGAGAAGAAGGCATATTTTGGTTACCACATTAATCAACATCTTCGTAATACAAATGTTCTATGGAAAAATTTTAAGTCATTCGCGTTACCGTCATTTAAAAATTCGAATGACTTACCAGAACACTTTAGTAATCCTGACGAAATTAATCGTCACTTTTTGAGTATACCGGGAACAAATATCATCAAATCATCTAATGTAAGGAATCTAGAAAGCAGAAACCATATTTCTGATACTTTTAGGTTAATACCAGTTCATGAAAATGTGGTTGCAAAAATCATAATGGGTATTAAGCTATTAAGTCAAATGCTGAAGGTGTTGACCGCATTAATATGGATATGGTAATTCTAACGCTTCCGAGAACTATAAATGTTATCACTGCAATTATTAATAAATCCATAACAGAATCTGTTTTTTATTCTTCTTGGAAAACTGCGCTTATTCGTTCAATACCTAAAAAAAGTAACCCAACAAATGTAGGTGACCTAAGACCCATTAGTATACTGCCTTACTTATCAAAAATACTTGAGAAAGTTGTTTACTCACAAGTAATAAATTTCTGTGAAAAAAATCAATTAATACCCAACCTACAATCAGGTTTTAGAAAAAATAACGGAACAGCAACAGCTCTTATTAATGTCGTGGATGATATATTATCTTTTTCGGATTCTGGAGAAGGTACTATTCTCACTTTATTAGATTTTTCAATGGCCTTTGACACAATTAACACAAACTTACTGATTTCTAAGCTTTCATATTATGGTTTTGATAATGAAGCACTCAAGTGGTTTAAAAGTTATTTAACTGACCGA